AAAATCATTTTTGCAATATTAGTCGTACATTCTGGATTGTCTTTTCGACTTTTCCAATAACGTAAATCTACGTGGCCTGTCCTTGGAAGTCACAATGGAGAAACGTAAATTTACGTGATCCGTCCATTAAGTGTTAATGGGGCCGGCAACGGGGGAAATTGACAGTTGACTGTGTCGAAATGTCTGTCCTAGCCCTAAACGCGTCCCGTTTTCTGGCGCGGCCGATAATACAGGTTGACCATAATGTAACCGACCCAATTTGGCAACTATGTTCGCGATGATTTAGTACATTATAGGATGGATTTCTGGGATAACCAACTTGGGAGTCGTAGTTGGTTTGACATGGAGTGCAATCCGAGGGATGAGAATTATGGAGCGTAACTCGGTTGACGAGTGAATGAAAATTGTGAGTAGTGCAACTGTCGTATAATCAGACAAGTATGATAATTGAATTTATTAGAATGAACAGAATTAAATTGAAACAGCCAATGCTAGTGCGAACACGAGTTAACTCTTGACCGGTCAACAATGCGTTAAACTTTCCTCGGAATGTTATCGCCGATCGATCCGCGTATCGAACTCCGAGTTCCGCAGGAAACTTTGAATACGCGGAAACAAAGAAACGCGGAATTCGTACGTTCGGCACGGGCGCGTATTTATTTTTATGGGCGAGGTCGAGTCCGAGGGACGGGACCCCATGGGGGTCGCCTGAAACCGACCCCTAGCCAGCCGCGTAATCGATACCCGTGCGAACGACACCGTGACGGACCGCGATTATCGATTCGGCGGGTTTAAGTTTCGGACACGGCCGAGGACGTTGCCGCTCAAATTCGACGGCGACACGCGTCACGGGCGTCGATCCGCTTGAAATTACGAGACAATCCCGAGAGCAGGAGGATTCGATGGGAATCGGATTATTAATAACCACGGATGCGAAGGGAACCGAATTGTTGTCCTTTGGCGGGGAATATTTGCGTAGTCGATTGGTTCGATGAAATGTATCGAATCAAATTATTTAATAATTATGAAATTATTATAATTATTATTATCATTTTATTATTATTATTATTATTTTATTATTGTTATTATTATTTATTATTATTATGATTATTTTCTTTGTTTGAAAATTGGCATATTTGGATATGGAATTATGAAATTATATTGAGGACCGATGGTTTTCTCTAAGTTCCGACAACTTCGATTATTGTTTAACCCCTTGTCCTACAACGAGTTAGACTCGTGATGAAGATTTTCAACATGACTCAACAAATATATGTATTACTCAGCTCATTCGAAATCAAAGTAAATATTATTCCAGAGAATATTAGACCAGAGATGAGAAATATATTATAGGTCAAAGGGTTAACCCTCTGCGCTCGAAAGATGACTCTCAGTCACCACTCGATTTGATACAGCAAAACTGTGAAGTAGAATATTTAGTATTCGAAATTAAACATTGTATTACTATGTGAAATATTTAACTAAAATAGCTTTGTTGTTAATTTATCTGTGAATTATCGTTAAATTAGTTTCAAACAATGTCGCCTGTATCTCGTCAAGAAATGTTGAATATTTCCAGTGAGAAACTTTCGAATGCAAAGGGTTAACCCTCTGCACTCGGAGGGCAAGCAATTTAATTCGACAATGAAACTATAAATGTAATGTTCAACTTTGTATAATGCCCCGTGAAATATTGAGACAGATAGCTTTGTTCTTTAATGAAATTGATTTCCCTTCGAGTTTCAAAGAATATTCAAAAACTATTAAATATTTCTAGTGAGAAACTACCGAGTAAAAGACTGAAACAATTACAGTATCCTTAATATTGATATTTAAAGTAATAATAGGAGTATTACACTATCTATTAATTTCTAATTATAATATTATTATCTGATAACAATCTTCTTTGAGTCACAAGTGTCGATCGTGACTATAAAATTCCAAATATCCTCTGACATCGTTCGAAACTCAAGTGCATTGCTCCCCGAACGTCTGCCGAAACGTTTACATCCGTTATGAAAAATTGAATGGCAGCCAAGCTAAAGTTAGTCGGCCCTTGTGAAGTTTATACGGTCCGTAGGTTTCATTAATGCTTCAGGAACAAACGCGTAATTCACGGCGCGCCGAGATCGTAAATAGTAAGCAAGAAACTTACGGCTATAAATTGCATTAGCTGACCCATATCGAGTTTGGCAGTACTCCGAATATTTTTTTCCACTCCGGTGGGTGAATTTTCGGGTAGTTACCTTGTTTCGAGTGGCACGTTAAGAAATTATGGTTATAACAGAAGTGATGTCGTTTGCGAGCTGACTATATGGCGCCACACCGCTCGCCTTGTTACGGCCGCGGCTATTCTACTGGGCCGGCCACTTACGGGATTCTACTGGCAAATGGGTATAGTTCCGCTTCCCTATTGTTCCCGACAGCATAGACTATGTACGACAGTTGCTGAAACTGCTCTATGCGACTCGCAATTTATAACTTCTCGAAGGCAGATCATTGTGGCGAATTGAAATTATTTTAACAGGTTGAATGCCGCACGATTTCATGGAAAATACACAAAATGGGAAAAATCAAATATTAAATCATTCGACTGAATTACTATTTCACGATTTCATGGAAAATACACAAAATGGGAAAATCAAATATTAAATCATTCGACTGATTACTATTTCACGATTTCATGGAAAATACACAAAATGGGAAAATCAAATATTAAATCATTCGATTGAATTACTATAATTGCACGTCTATCTACCTGAACGTCACCTCGTTAGGTAGCATTATTGATAATACAGAAATATTTTCGAATAATCATCGTTTAATTCAGCGAACTAAAGTCGATTTGATTGAGGGTCACCGGTGACCCTCATGGCATTCATGTTAAATAATCGAAAGGAACAGGGGTTGAATTGAAACCCTTTTCATAACACTTTATCAAATTTTATTCAAAAATTACAATATAATTACTATACACTAGACATCAGTTATATCAAATTGATTATTACAAAATAATTATTAGAAATATCAATTGACTTATTAACCCCTGTCATACGAGTGAGACTCGTGATGAAGATTTATTTAACAAAAATCATTGTTCATTGCTTACGGATCAAAGCAAAAAACTAGTTCGCTATTACCAATGTATTAAATTAAAATTCTTAAAGCAAAATTGAAAATGTTGCTTCTCTTCCAAATTGCCGATAGTAATTGTTACTTAGTAGAGTAAATACTAAAGTTACATAGACGAGTGAGACTGGTGAAGATTTATTTAACAAAAATCATTGTTCATTGCTTACGGATCAAAGCAAAAAACTATTTTACTATTACCAATCTATTATCTTAAATTAAATTTCTTAAAGCAGAATGGAAAATTGTTTCTCTTCCAAATTGCCGATAGTAATTGTTACTTAGTAGAGAAATAATACGTCGAGATAGTTAATAACTATCTAATTAAACAAATATAAAGTAATATAATTCTCAATCTCCCCAACTACTTCAAAATCCTCTAACCACTCTTCTCCAGCAAATTAATTAAAATTTTCTCATTAGACTATCGCGAACCAAGGTTATCGATGTACGGCGAGGATCGCCGTAGAATCTCGAAAGTTCAAGGAGAGAACACTGGTAACAGGTTGAAGACGATGGAAAAAACACGGGGCGCAATAAAACCGGAGATTGTAAAACTAAGTGACAGTCAAAGAGCCGTTCCGAACGGACGTGATCCGTTCGGATTGCGCGACGTGACTCGTTCATAAATGAAGATCGCCTCGCGCTTTATCGTCAGTCATTGTCGCCGAGCGCTGCCGTTTCGAACGCGATACGTCGTTATCGACAGCGAATCTCGCGCATTCCAACTAATTACTCGGCGCGCGTTTTATCAAAAGCGAAACACTCGTCGCCCTTCGAAACGGCTGACGCAAAGTCGCGCTCGGCGAGGCGTTCTTATCGCGGCGGGTTATCGCGATGTAATTATTCTTTACAATTTCGCCGCGGTCGTTGCGTATTCGCGATTTCTTGGGGTACAGACCGCGCCCATTAACGCTGATGGATCTTAATGGAGCTCTCGGCTTTTTTCCGATGGCTCGCGGAACCTTTATAGATTACGCGGATTTCCCTTCGACCGCAGCTTCTGTGAACGGCCGTGTAAGAAACCGTGCTCGCGTGAGTGTTCAAGGCCTGTTACAATATTCATTTCGCGGTCGGGCGAATTGAAAGCAAGACGATCTTAACGTAATTTCCGGCTGTTTTGCATCACAGAGGAATATTACGTCGGGCTTCGTGGAAACCGACGCTGATTCCTCTTTATTCGTTGTGTTACCTTCGGCTGTTACCGAGGTACATAACTGTGTGAGTGTTTAATTACTAACATTGCGTTAATTCTTAACGAACTGGAATGTGTGTTTGATCAACTTATATCGTATATAAAATATTCAAATATATTATTGGTGCTTGGTGAATCTTTTAATAATTTGAAAATCATCAGTTCTAATAGTATAATATTATAGTATAGTATAAATACTATTAGAACTGATGATTTTCAAATTATTAAAAGGTTTATCAAGTAACAGTAAGATATTTGAATATTTTATATATAAGTTGGTTTCATTGAAAATTGTATATCATATAAGTTGATCCATTGAAAATTGTATATGATGTAAGTTGATCCATTGAAAATTGTATATGATGTAAGTTGATCTCATTGAAAATTGTATATGATATAAGTTAAGCTCATTGAAAATTTTATAAGTTGATCTCATTGAAAATTGTATATGATATAAGTTGATCTCATTAAACAAAATATTAATGATAATCAGCAGAGCTACGAAGGTATCTGTATAAAATCGAGATGCCTCGTTTCCGGTGCGCAATATGTTAACCTTGATCATCGCGCATTTTATCTTATTATCTGAACAAACGCACGATTCTCAGACATTTATCTCGCTGACATCTTTCATTGAGAAGAATGGAAGGAACACTTTAGATAATTCTTGTTCCAGGTATCTAGCAGCGAGTACTTCAGCGTCAGCTTCGATCTACCAGAGGAATTTGGCTCCCTGGACCGGGACGAGTTCCTACCCGCCTCGAAAGGGACCTGTTTGGCGTAAGTGTAACAAACCGTGTCAATAATTTCCACGAGCTATTATTACCACCAATATCTCTCGACCGTATTTCCAATTAGCGTACAGCAACCTCTATAAACAGTGAACTGCAACTGAAATCCCCATCAAAAAACGTCATTTAGAAGTGTAGTATCTAGAATTCTTAGCGTAGGTTAAGGTATTTTTAACCTTTTGCACTCGAGAGGTCACAGTCACCACTTGATTTGATACAGCAGAATTATAAAATTGAATATTTAGTATTTCAAATGAAACTTTGTATTGCTATGGGAAATATTTAAATAAAATTACTTTGTCGTTTAATTTATCTGTGAATGATCGTTAAATTAGTTTCGAACAGTGTCGTCTGTATCTTGTCGAAAAATGTTAAATATTTCCAGTGAAAAACTTTCGAGTGCAAAGGGTTAAGAAGAGTGAATGTAAGAATGAGTGTGAATGAAGGACAGGTAAAACCGTCGAGGGAAAGTGGCCTGCGCAACGTCACGGACCCAAGATTGCAGGGCCAGCTTTCCAGGGGTGCATCCGAGTGTTTGTGATGAGTGCGAGTGAGAATGCTTGTGGGGGAGATGATGATTTTTGGGAGAGCCTGTAAGAGAGTTGCGGGAAGAGTCGTGTGTTGGCCTCCGTGGCACTGAGTTGTACTTTTTACGTGTTGTCCGTGTTGTTTCCATATTTTATATTTTGACCATAGTTTTAGCTTTATTTCATTAACACTAGAACTACCGAGCATTTAATACGATTAATATGCAATTCCTATAAAAACTGTAACAATAGATTATTTTCAGTTTCTTCAGACATTCATTATAGTACTCAAATGAAACTATTTATTTTCAAAATCATTTCGTATATTCAATGCTTCGAAGATATCAATAATTGCTAAACAAAAAAAACGAAACCAGTCATTTTGACTGGTACGTAGTTCTAGCGTCAAATACATATATTTATTCCTGGCTCTCGATTACTCGAGATCCACCCTTTCGTTATTCACACTATAGTAACACTATAGAAGTTTAACAACGGTGAGCTTTATGAAACAACGCTCGTCTTCTTCTTAAACTGGGTCGTTCACATATAATTGGTAGCTCATAAGTTGTTTATCGGTGACTCGATCGTCACGAATAATTGAACGACGGATCCTAAAGGTTCATGGCAGTCGACAGGGACTCGTAACGCTGGGAAATTTCATTCGAAACGATTTACGTGGTAGCAAATAGCTGCCGCGTCTGGTAATGTCGCGGAATTCCGCGGCGAGCAAGATGAAAGCCGCGAATTTCACCGATGGCCTTCGCAGAAAGGAGCCACGCTCCACCGAGCACTTTGAGACACTTGCCGCGCGGTCGCATAATAATTGCTTCTAAATAATCACGCTACACCGTCTGCGCAAACATGCTTCCTTATTCTCTGCGCGGGAATACATATTCCATTAACGAACAATCGTAACACAGAAAAATTCTATCGTTTAATTGCTAATTCTTCGTTAATGCAACATTTTAGATATATGTAACACGAATCCAAAGTAAAGTTACAAATTCCTTATTCACTTCGTAAGTTAGAAATTTCGGTTTGATTGACGTTTAAAAATCTATCAATATAATCACCGACGCTCGCGTCTTTAACCCTTGGCACTCGGGAGTTCCTCATTAAAAATATTTAACATTTCTTACAAGACGAAGACGATATTCTTTGAGACTAACTCAAAGGGAAATCACAAGTACATTGAGGAACAAAGTGATTCCCCTTCGAGTTAGGTTCAAAGAATATAGTCTTTGTCTCGTGAAGAAATGTTACGCGTTTCTAGCGAGAAACTTCCGAGTGCAAAGGGTTAATAGCTGAAATTAACGTACAATATGTTAAATACCTCTGAGACACTTGCCACCGTCCCTACACAAGCAAATAAACCTTTCTCGTAACAAGTTTCTCAGTATCACGCGATACGGCTCCCATATGATCCACCGAAAATTATTTCCAACTCCGCCAGCAACCGCAAACAATCCCCAAAGCTGCAACCCACTATCAAATATTCCCGACCAACGAAACAGGAAAAACCCATTATCGGAACTCCGTCGAAAATATCAGCGTACTTACAGACGGAACAGTACATATGTACACGAGTCTCTGTATCAAACTGCAGAAATTTCGACTGGAATTCGATGAAAGTTCAACGGTGTTTACCAAAGCTCGCGTGCTTTCCGCGCGTCTTGTTTTCGCGTGTTTGCTCGCAGGACGGGCATGGAGGCTGTCTTCGGCCGGTGTCGCCAGAAACGCGGCACGGAATTATGGAATATTAACTGTTCGGGAACGGGGTCGCGGCGGAGTATTCCAGACAACGCGCTTTCAGCGGCCGGGAAACTCGCTCGCGCGGCGACCGCGGTAGTTTCGCTCAATAATGTAGACGACTCGGCGGCTTCGGTGTTTATTCGATAAGAGCGGAGCTCCAAGGGCCGATTCCGACACTGAGACACGGGACACGCCGGATTCGCCTCGAAATGCCGAGATAACTGGGCTTTTCGTTCGTGGACCGTTCTGAGAAGAGTTCGATGCAAGTTGATACGGGATCATCGAATTTTCGCGCGATGAGGTTAGATTGAGTTTGAAAATTGGCGGAGGGAATGTTTGATGGTTATTATGAAGTATTTTATAATTGGAATTGAGAGTTGATGAGGATCATGATGGATTAGTGAATTAAAGTGTTGAGGGAATTGAATGTTGTGATTGCTTTGGAGAATAATTTGGATTTTCATTGTTTTCTGTATTGGGTGAATCAAGAAATAGAGATTTGGGAGTTGAATGCAATAATGGATTAGAGTGAATTAAAGCGTCGAGAGAATTCGAAGTTGTAATAATTACTTTGGAAAATGTTAGCTTTGGACTTTCATTGTTTTCTGTACTGGGTGAATCGCGAAATAGGGGTTTGTGAGATTGAATGCAATCGAGAAGGTTGATAATGAGAACACTAATGGATTAGAGTGAATTAAAGCGTTGAGAGAATTTAGAGTTGCGGTAGTTGCTTTGGGAAATGTTAGCTTTGGATTTTCATTGTTTTCTGTATTGGGTGAACCGCGAAATAGGGGTTTGTGAGATTGTATGCAATCGAGAAGGTTGATAATGAGAATACTAATGGATTAGAGTGGATTAAAGCGTTGAGAGAATTCAGAGTTGCGGTAGTTGCTTTGGATTTTCACTATTTTCTGTATTGGACGAATCAGAAATCAGAGATTTGTGAAACTTAATGCAATCGAGAAAGTTGATAATGAGAATAATAATGGATTACAGTGAATTAAAGCATCGAGAGAATTCAAAGTTTTAATTACTTTGGAAAATAGCTCTGAATTTTCATTATCTTCTGTACTGAACAAACGAAAAGCTAAACATTCGTGAAATTTAACAAATTGCTAACACATCTTATGAATTATTGTAAAACATAATATCCATAATCATAAGATTCCCGTTTGTTCCAGGGAGGCGTTGAATACCAGTTGCGAGAAACGCGGTATCGACTTATCGCGCATCGAAGTGTACGAGGGTTTCTCGGCGCCGTTGCCAATCCAAACGACGGACACGTCGAGTCTCGGCGGGAAACACCTGAGAATAACAGGTATTTATGTAACCGATAACCTTACGTCTGAACCTGTCGGGCCAGTATACGCGAACCGCCGAAACACTCCGAAAAATGGGTCACCGTTCGAAACATTCCGGAACACGTAACCTCTACGAGCGTTCCCTCGTGTAATCGGATCAAAAATAACTTGTTATCAGAAAACTTCGCCAATTAACTTCAGAAACATTTGCATTCCCGCTCTCGTATCTCCGTTCCGCGGAGCAATCGAAACTCGAAGCCAACATTTGCCAGCGTTTGTAGCGTCGGATACCGGAAACGCCGCGAAGCAGTCCATGATTCATGGGAAACTGATAACTAGATAGGATCAAGCTTGTTCCGGCCGAAACCGACGTAATCGACTTCCTGCCGACACGCAATCATCTTTCGAACACGGAAATGATGAGTCGGATAATGGAGAACGGAGCTGCGCTCGTTTCCAAGCGGATCGAATGATCCTGTTAACTCCTTGCTTTCTAATATCAGAATCACGGTGAAGATTTAACCCTTTGCACTCGAGAGATGACTCAAACTCAGCAATTGATTTCATACAGTAAAACTATAAAATTTGATATTTAATATTGTACTACGTACCATGCAATTTGAGAAATTAATTTCACAAGATACCGTCTTTATCTCATCATCGAATATTAAAATATTTCTAGTGAAAAACTGGTGCAGGGGGTTAGAACAGAGTTTGACATATACGTTGAAATTTCCCAGGTCGTTTTTGGAACTTTTCTTATATTTAAAGTCTGTATTGTATAAGAAAAGTTCCAAAAATGACCTGGGAAATTTTAATAACAATATACAATACAAATTTTAATAACAAAGATACTCTAAAATCATCAACACCATCATTTTATAAATATTTTTCTACAAAGAAATAATTCATGCTTCAACGTTTTCGTCAAATATTATTCAATGCTGTTGCATTCAAATGGAATATTATTCTCTCGTTCTCAAGGATTATATTCTATAACAAACATAAACATAGAATATAAATTCGCTGAAAAAGCAGAATTCTGGTAAAAAATTCGAAAGATTAAACGATGATTATTTGAAAACTTTTCTACATTACAATACCACCTAATGCAGTGACATTCAACGAGATAAACCTGCAATATTAATAATTCAATTACATAAGTTGACATTACATTATCTTCATTTTATATTTCTCTCGGCAAAATCGTGCAACACTCAACGTGTTGAACAGTTCTCGCTTCTTATTAACCCTTTGCACTCCATAGGCGCCTCTCAGTCGCCAATTGATTTGACACAGCAAAATTATAGAGTTTGACATTTAATATTAAACTTTGTACAATGCACCGACATGTAACATAAAATAAAACAGCCTCTTTCTTTAATTTATGTGCGATTTCTCGTTAAGTCTGTTCGTAAGAATGTCGTTGGTATTTGATTAAAAAATGTTGAGTATTTCTAATGAAAAACTTCTGGAGTGCAAAGGGTTAACACTAGGTTTACGGAACGCGTCAAATTGACGCACATTGGATTTTAGAAATATTATTTTGTAAATGTTTACGCCGATTTTGATTGGTGCGATCACACTGATATGTACCCCAATTACCTACTATCAAATCTCCAGTTTCCACAATCTATATAAACGAGCATCAATTCTTTTAGGAATAACAGAATGAAGTGTACAATAAATGCCCGTAAACCTAGTGTTAACGGAGTAATTGTACTGATCGTAATTGAGAAAGAAACCATAGAGCAACGGGTTAACACGTTGACTGCACGAGAAGTATCAGTGTTTTATGTATTTATCCTTTCTACAGCAAAGATACAAAGCAAAAATGATTAATACCTTGACACGAACACTCTTATCTTACTCTATCATCTAGTAATCTATGTTACGGAAAATTAGTATTCGAAATCAATTATCTTCCGAGTTATAATTATTTTCCTGTCATTTGAAGGCTGCAGTCATCGGTGACCGCCGTGGCAGTCAAAGTGTTAACCGTCGAATGGCGAGGTTCACGGTCCGGTCAAAGATCGACGATCGTCAAAGGAAATTGAAGTCGATGCGAGGTTGACAGGACCGTGTGCCGGCGCGGCCATTTTGATCGATACCGCCGAGAGTCGTAAGCACACCGATCGCGTTCGGCTGTGTGCGCCGCCGGTGATAAATTTACACACGGGAGTCCGCGACGGTAAATGGATTTCTCGGGAGAGCGTGCTTTTGATCGGACACCGGCTCACGGCTGAGCATAATCGAATCGTACTACTTAAACCGCGTGCTCGGTGAGCCGACGCGTACGCGTGAAATTCGTTGTCCGGCTGGAATCGAATTTGCCGCGCGTTGAAATCGACCTTGAAGCTGATGTTCGTCAGGAACAAGATTGAACTTGACATACAATTCATTTAGAAATTTATTCAAGTTCAGAGGAGCTTGTATTCTAATTTTCCTGCATGATTATTGGAAGTCGAGACTGTAACAAGTGAGACCCAACTAAGGCATAATCTTCGAATAATTAACCCAAAGCAGATTTAACTCTCGACTGTGCTCTAATTGAATCCAGCAGGAGTTGGTGGATTATAGTGTTACCGTTGTAGGATTTCTACGGGATGATTTCAGCGGAATCAATACCAAACCTATTGTCATCGTACATGCGTCAGCTTACACGTGTGCTTGTTAGCCGGACTACACGATATCTCGAATTTTCGAACTTCGAGTCTTAGTATCTCCATGTATGATCATTACAGGATGCAACTAGTGAAATTATAGTTTGAGAAAGGTTCACTCGAACCTATGGTTGAATTCAACTGAAAACAAGGATCACTATGTCAACACTAGGTTTACGGAACGCGTCAAATTGACACATTGGATTTTAGAAATATTATTTTGTAAATGTTTACATCGATTTTGATTGATGCGATCACACTGACATGTACCTCAATTACCTACTATCAAATCTCCAGTTTCCATAATCTAAATAAACGAGCATCAATTCTTTTAGGAATAATAGAATGATGTGTACAATAAATGCCCGTAAACCTAGCGTTAATGTTAGGGTTCACGATTCCGGATGAAGGCGATAGAATGTGCACTATGACCTAACCGAACCCATGTACACGTCGAATCTATCCAGACGCGTTCCCGGCCCGATTCGCGTCGTCGTTGTTGAAAGCAAATGGCGCCGATATGAATCTTGAACTCCGAAATTGCTTTGTCACTCCGGCTGACCATATCGGGGTCATGGTACTTAAAGTTCCGGCCACGAAAGCCGTTCCGCGGTGAAGTTTTCGTTTCCTATTGACGCAATTCAAGCGAGTCCAGCGATGAGCTTAGTTCCCGTTTGTCTTGCCTGGGCTGTTGACGATTTCGCGGCAATATACCACGGTAAACACCGACGGTGGTTGGGCTGTTTAACCCCGAATAATTGGAGATGTTTGGCGGCGTTTCTTGCGGGGCCAGCGTAACGCGGAATGTTTGTCAATACCGCTTACGGAAATCTGGAATTGGCAACCTATACAAGCTCCCAAAATGTCGAGAGAAAATTGTTTGTTCGATCTGGACGAAACTAATTGTTATACTTAATCAACGGGATAATTAGTAGATTAAACATTCATGAAATAATAGAAGAAGAATATTTCCTATAATTTTTCATTTTGCTATAGATAAATTGTTATGAGTTCTGAGGTCCTACGCGCTCAAGAATTACACCTCTCAAAACCAAATTTTTTTGTTTAATTTAGACAAAGCTAATCGTCATCCTCAATGAACGGAACAATTAATAAAGTAAACATTCACAAAATAATAGAAACAGAATCTTTTCTACGATTCTCAATTCTACAACAGAAAAATTGTTGATTGTACACGGTTCATTGCATATTCCGCGCCCTGAGATCTCGCGCTCAGAAATTACACGTCTCAATTAATTCATAGGTTCACACGGTGCCGGTCTATATTCTACGTACTGCGTGCGCTCGATTAAATTCCGCCCGCGATAATCTAGGTCATGCAAAGGTGATGCTTATGACATTACATGAAATACGTGACTTATCGTGTCAGAAGACCTTCCGCCGTAAAAGCATAAATCACCGATAAGCATCTTCAAATACGAGCCTCGGTCATCGTCTGGTCTGCGCGTGATCGGGCCAGACTACTTAAATCTCGCGACGGAATCTTGTCTCCTGCTCTTGACAATATAATTTAGATAAAGTGACCGAAGTTCGTTCAACTAATTACTACTCCCGCGTATTGCGTATTCTCGCTTGATTCGGTGATCCGGCCTGATCATGACTGGCACACGCTACTCGTCGAACGCGATAAAATCGTCTGGACTCCCGTTTTAATGGAATCAAAATCCTGTCGTATCTCGCGCACCATAAACTCGATATTTACCGACGCTCGCTTTGCCTGTCATTTTGTTTGTCGCGTATAAATAACGGCTGCAATTAAAGAAAGGGAAAAACAGGCGGCCGCCCTTGCAAATATCAATCCATCGGGAACACTGTAATCTCCGAGCCATAAACGCGTCAGTTGCTCGCTAATCCCGGAGCAGATTTTAACCGGCGCCCCCCGTAGCGCGGCAAAAAACGGCCCGCAACCGGTCCCCGTCCGCGTCGACGTTCGCCTGACACGGGAAAATCGATTTCGGAAACGACGCCGATTTATGTCTGCCTGTACCAGACTGTTCCAGTCGATATCGCTAGAACTACCAAACAGTTAACTCATTTGTATACGAAAAAGTGGAAAATTGTTCCTCACCCTCACAAATGTTTCAACTGCATCAAAATGGAAATGGTTAGAAATGTATAAAAAATTAAGAACCTATATAGCTACACGGTAATTATTGCACTCATATTATGTATCTTTCCTTTTTTTCTCTGATATACAAATTACACAACAGTGGCGCGCATATATGCGCTTATGATGCAAATAGGTTAAACTGACTTTTCCAAGTTTCTTTATAAAATAACTGTGTTTATTAAGATTTCAAGCGGTTTGTATTTCAGTGTAGGTAGTACTACATCAGCTTCTTTAGTGATTTCTCAGAGAAACCTGTACCTTCTTAGTAATTGTATAAAAAGGAATCAGGAATCATCTGGTAGTTCTAGTGTTAATACTGTTTAATTAATATAGTAATCTCAGGAAGATCGCGGTTCTGTTGATCTAAAAATCATTATTACGCTTTCAAACGTAATCGTGTATACTTCTGTCTATTGATAGATGTTTCATCTGTTTTCTTTGAATCGAGAATCTTTTAAGAATAATAAGCTTGATTAATACTTTAAAAAAATGAAAATCAAAGTTCATTGTTAACCGTTTGAGTGCTGAGTCTTCTTGTGTTGTGCAATTATAATTTTCTTACTGTGTTTTTCAAGAAATAAATCAGAGTAAATTTATCTGAATAAATGTTATTTTTTGATATTTTCTTGTAATAACACAATATTTGTGATCTCATAATTTTTTTGCATACACACCCAATCACTTACGCATTTTTGGTAAATATCCACAAAAGTTGTTTATCATCCAAACGGTTAAGGTAAATTGTAATCTCATAACGCCTTTAGTAATCGTGTGAAACTTTGATCGTTATCTTGCCAAAGATCTCGAAGCCTTGCATAGTTCATTCCGCAAAGTTCCAGGCTATAATAATTCGATTGCGGTTTATCGTCGAGTAACGGGAATCAGCGCGAAGCAATTTGGATGGTAATGCTAATGGGAACAGCCAATTTACAACGGTGCGCGAGGATCGCGGTCTAAACGGGGAATAAAAATATGGTGGGCCATGTGCACGCGAATGAACGCGAGCCGAACGGCGCCTGCGGAGGGCTGTAATTCCGTGAGTTCATTAATTCCCGCTGCGCCCTTGGAGAAACGGGCACAAACTGAAAGCGAAAGAACCGCGCGGCCCGCCTTCGTGTACACGTGCTGCTTGAACGCCGCAAACACGGTCTTACCCTCATTCAAGAACGTTATTAAATGTCTGAAAGGCTAGCAGCTGCCTGTCATCGCGCAACAGGGCACATTCTACCTGATTAATTGGCAACTGCAACGCTCGAGAGGGTTCCTCTACAAGAAAAAGCTTCCTCTTTCTGATAAAAACATCTACAGCCTATTGGGAAAGCCTCGTGAATATTTTTCCTCGATTGTTTCCTTGGCAATGAGTAATTTCAATTCGAAACCTTCGAAACTATCTAGATCTATGGCATTAACCTTTTGCACTGGAAAGACGTACTACGAGATTTTGTTCTAAAATTTTGTATTATGGGTATTAGATCGTTTTAACACATTGAACGCCGGCTAAATTTCAGCTACTAGAAACGGGAGTGTCGGTGATTATATTAATATATATTTAACCATCAATCAAACCGAAATTTGTAACTTGCGAAAAAGAATAAGGAATTCGATTTTGTTATTCTAATTTGGATTTGTGTTATATTTAAACTGTTACATTAATGTAGAACTAGCAATTAAACGGTAGACTATAAATCCCACGTTATCGCGGGGCCGGCGCGTAACGTGTTAAAATAGATCATTCTATACAGAATTATTAATAAACAAAATTAGTGTAAAGTAGATAAGAAGAAAATTATTCCTACGAGACGTTGCCAAATCTCTAAATTGGTTTCCAGCGAGAGGTTAACCCTTTGACGAAGGTTTTTAGAAATGTACAAAACCTTCAATGGAAGCTAAATTATCTATCAATCGCTTAATTAATAAAAAAAAAGAAACTACGTGCTGATCTGTAGCTGTTCGAGTAATTAAATCACTTGTCTCCGACTTGGTCTTCCAAATATGAACATTTCATCTCGCCGAAATGTCGACATTCGTCCGCGAAGGGTTAAAGATATCCGAACTTTTCGCGAGTTCATAGTATCAATTGTCGATCTAAAGGTTACTCATTGAGCAACAGCTAAAGAGCACCGAAATATTCGGCAGGCGAGTCTATTCGTTGAATAAAATATAGAACTAGACTTGTGTACACGTTCGCAGACCCGCCCCGATTTCACGCGACCCTAAAAATAAAGGATTTTGGACGTGCTTGACCTCGGGGCCGCAAGGGATTCTGACGCAAAACGTTTGATCCGTGGAACGGGAGCTCACGCAACAGTTTAATGTGCAGTATTTTAGATGGTTATCAGGCTTTAATAGCCCCTCCTTACACCGGGTTAAAGCGTTCCCGCCCCGGAGCCACGTTCGAGCCTCGTACCCCGAAAAAAACCGGCATCAGATAGGAGAAAGCTCGCGCGTAAGTGGAATACGTCGGTTCCCGCTCAGACACGCCACGCCAGACCGTCACGAACGTCGATGCCAGGAACAAACCTGTTATGATGCGTTTACAGCAACCGGACTGAATGCCCTTTCACTCGGTCCGACGGAATTGACGTTGAAATGAACATTCGTACGTTCTTGGTAAATAATTGGATCATTGTAGAAACAATTGTTTCGCTCTACTTCATTTTTCTGTCTCTTTACTGTTCTATACTTTCACTTAACGCGTTCGCGAACGACAAGAATTTTGATGAGCTGTGAAAATAGGAAAATGCAATTCTCCGAGAGTTAACCCTTTGAACTCTGTAGGCAATATTGCACCAGTTGTAATATTGAATGTTTTAATCAATCGAAGGAACTACCCTGAAATTATTAGATTTTACACATCCAAATTTTGTACTGAGAAGGAAAATACATCGAAGAAATGCTATAGCATTTTTCATTTTCACTAGGAATACTATAAAAATTAGTTGCAGTTGTTGATAAATTACAGTACCATCTGCTAAGGGTTAAAATGCGTGACGATTTCAAGAAATTAAGGCTATGTAGAATTGAATGGGTAATAATGTGGCTTAGAAATTTGAATGTTATAGCATCTAAGTCATTTCGCATCACAATAAAGTAATATTGTTACGCTATAATTGCCAGTTATTCTACGATTTCATTCCTTCGTAATATAGAGCAGTAGCATGTGATTGCTTAAATAAATCAAAAAATTAATAGAAAATAATTCCATCTTCCGTCTACTCTAGTTTTACATTACATTACATCGTTCGGTTGCTTTAAACGCGCCATTGTCGAGGCTGCACCTAATTCTCGCAGGCTTGTTTATCAGTCGCAAATATAAATCACGTGATATCGGTAATCTTTCGGGAACGCTTCAGCTTTCCTTTGTTCGCCGTCGAACGGAAATAAACGTGAGCGTCGCGGAAAGGGAACGAACGATCCCGGCAATTCCCGTCGAGATAATTCACTGGTCCGCGGAAGAACTTTCTTCCTCGGGAACAGCGATATTTCAATCTCGGGTTTCGTCGTGCCGCCATATTCCTTTTGTCTGTTCCAGTCAAAGACGCCGAGAAATCGAATTCAAGGCAGACGGGTCAGAAGGCCGGCCAAAGCGTTTCCCTGAGGAAAACAACGAGCGGGGTAAGATTCTTCGTGTTTCATTATTTCGAACGAGTTTTCGAGTTATCGTTCAACAAGTATCGTCAATAGTTCTCGCGCTCTTTCGTCGTTTTCGCTGTCCAGTTTGATTTTGAAAGGGGTATTCGTAACTTTCCCGAAACTTTCGTTAGCTACCTTTGATAGCTAGTTCCGTGGATTTTGGTATTCGGTACACTTGCGAGTGCATTAAATATAAAACGGTGATTTATCTTAGCATCAGTTTATTGAAATTCTACGGAAGAAAGTTTCTGTTTAACTGCAGTTCCTTCGTATTGCTGCCGAGAATTCATTTTCTTATGAAATTTCACGAAGTAAATGCGACAGCCTTCAAAGCCTAAAGGTTTAATATTTCAATCCATTTACGTGTAATTCATGTTCGAGTAAACACCTTGCATAAGCGAAGACGTTGCACCGATTTGACGGTCCACACAAAAAGATGAAAAATCTCTCCCTAGTGGAACGTCAGTCAAACCGTCGGACGTGCTTCCAGTTCCCATCCCTCATCCCCAGGACCCAGTGTCACATTACTAGACTGCGGATTTTGTGCATTTATCATTTTCAATCTTCAAGAAGCCGGTGTGGAAAGGTCGCTAAGGAAATTGAATCCTTACACGGAAACGAACCTTCTTCATTTTTCTCCTATTAATATTCGACATGCATAATAGATGTAGATTCACAGAAAAATGAAGATCACTCGCTTCGCTAACGAATCATCAAGAGAAAAATAATTCTGCTGATTGCAGTTTTAAAAAAACTGTATTTCTATTGAGGTGCAACAAAACTAAGAATAGATCAAACAAATATTTTTTAATATACAAACAATCCAACAAAAATCTACATCAGCATGAAGATTCGCATTGTCTTTATTTTCAATCTATATTAATCTTCCCTCGGAATTCTAATTAGCACGGATGCGACTTGACCTTAAATAATTGCAAGAATAATTCATTTCCATTGAAGTGCACCAAATAAACCAAGCAAATATTCTTTAATATACGAACAAGCCAGCATAAAGATTCGCATTGTCTTTATTTTCAATCTATACTAATCTTCCCTCGGAATTCTAATTAGCACGGATGCGACTTGACCTTAAATAATTGCAAGAGTAATTTATTTCCATTGAAGTAGACCAAATAAACCAAGCAAATATTTTTTAATATACGAACAATCCAGCATAAAGATGCGCATTGTCTTTATTTTCAATCTATACTGATCTTCCCTCGGAATTCTAATTAGCACGGATGCGACTTGATCTTAATCGCTCCGTTCCCGGATACCTCGACCTCGGTGTCTCTTCTATAGAACGTTTTCCGGCGGGATACGGTATCACGAGCCGAGCCTGGCTGATTGTCCGCGAACGCGCTGACACACATCATCCGCCGCCTGATCTTCGATCGGTGATTCCCGCGGGGACGGGCCTGGATAATCGCGGACAATACCGCGACACCGTTCGTTCCCGAACCTTGACCCACCAGAAGACAAATTACGAAACGATCCGTCAGGTGCGAACAATGTCGCGGAGAAAGACGATCGATACTGATCCTTCTATTACGCTGTCGTCCGGAATTCTAATGAGTTGTCTGGGAACGATAAGCGCGGCTTCATCGCCGATCTTCCACCTAATTGCTGTCCCATTGATCTATTATCCTGACGGTGGAGCTCGGCACTACGGTATGCGCGAAGCTTGACTGATGATTGTCTTCAATTTGACATCGAGCCCGCCGAATCCCTTCGTCATCGTTACGTCTTCGTGGGAATGTGGACTTTGATGAGATAATCTAAGGACTTGGGATCAATGAGACTTTATTAACGCTTCGCTGTTGACAATATTTTTCGTTATAAATATTTATCATGTTCTGTTGAAGTATTGATGATACTGTTAGCAAGTAACAAAGGATCTTACATAAATTAAGGGTTGGAAATAATTTATCTCTAAGGTTCATGTGTTGATACCTAATACAAAATTGAATATTTAGTGTTCATAATTTCGGTGCATCGAATCAAATAGCGAATGAAAGTCGCAAAAAGAGTGAAAAGGGTCAACAGGTTCACTATCATGAGAATTTTTAGCATTCTATACAACGTTCTTTCACTTCATTTTGCTTTGTATTATGATGTTAAGATTGAGAGGGAATGAGTAAGAGTTTGATAAGATTCAAGAAAGTTTCAAGGTTACGGAGAAATGCTTAAAATTCGTGGTCCAGTCCTGTAGGATCCTCTCGTTCCAACCTGTGTCTTAAACGTCTAGTCAAAAGTCATCTTAAACATCATTCGATCTGAAAGTATAATATCCATCTAACGATCACCTCTAATTTCCAAGGAAATCATTAATCTCACTGTCCGCATCAATATAAAGTTCCCTTAGTTGAAACACCTAGCATGTAAAGAACGTTTCAGATTGAATCCCTGATGTAGTGTGATAAATCGTAGCGTGTACTCTTGGACTTTTTTAATTTAGAGAGTTAGGTCGCTAAGATTGTCCCGTTGAATGACGTCTACGGGGAGGGTCATTAATAGGGACAGCGATCTAATTACTTGGAGGTGAACGTCTAATCCTCATTCCGCTGCGAACCTGTGGTATTCGTGCCACGTCCTCATTTAATCCTTACGAGTTCAGGGAATTAGGTCCGCCGACAATCGGCAAAGTTTATGAAACTTGTGGCCCGCAGAGTTATCGGGGTCGAAGCGGTCTCGGTTTCTTCAGCGTCTCGACGGAAGACTCGAGCGTCGACTCCGAGGTTAGTAGCAGCACGACGATCACGTCTGGTCGGAGTTCCGCTGGGGCTGCGGGATTCAAGACCAGCAAGCAACGCTGGAGCGGGTTCTTCATGAACACGAAGGGCAACAAGCTCGACCTTCTCACCACACACCTGGACGAGTACAATAAACACGGGGTGCCGAAACTGACGGACGTTCAACTGCCGTACGAACTCACCCTTAACGAAGATGGTGCGTAATTCTTCTATCTCGAGAATCAACTCTTCTGCGATTGCAGTTAACTGAAGATTAACGCTAGCAGTGCTTACAACCGACATACACTCAACACATTGCATGCGGGCCATTTTGTTCATTTCAACTTATGTCAGTTATATTCAATTTATTTATTATTCAACATATTTTCAAGAGTTCCGCCCTTAACGAAGATGGTGCGTAATTCTTCTATCTCGAGAATCAACTCTTCTGTGATTGCAGTTAGCTGAAGATTAACCCTTTGCGGGCGAATATGCTTTGAAATCTACAAAGTCTTCAACGAATGAAGTTAAATTAAATATCAGTTACTTAATTAATAGGAGAAAAGGAAACTGCGAGCTGATCTCTTGCTGTCAGAGTAATTAAATCATTTCTCTAGTCTTCCAAATACGAACACTTCATCTTTCCGAAATGTCAACGTTCTTCCACAAAGGGTTAACCCTATCAGTGCTAACAATCGGCATCCACTTAACACATTGCGGGCCATTTTGTTCATTTCAACTTATATCAGTTACATTCAATTTATTTATCATTCAACATATTTTCGGGAGTTCCCATTGCAAGTAGGAATACTTTTAATCATACACAAAAGGAATCAATCTACTGTTGTGAAAAATTTTTATGAAGATATAAAGTATTTATTTAATACTTTAGTACTACGGTACATGAGAATAGTACTTTTACGTTTTTGCATATAGTGTGTTAATGAGCTGCAGATATCAATATTCGCTGTTTATATTATTGCATCGTAAAGTAAAGAGTAAAGTAGTATTAATAACACAATAAGAGTATAGTAAAGTAGAAACGATTGAATTCTGCGAAGGTTAAGTCGAAGGATGGGTTCAAGTCACTGTTCACAAGAAACAAGAACGCTTCTGTACAACAATCTTATATTAACGTTCAATAAATTATTTTACAATGCAAAACTGTTAAACGTACATATGTATAATCAATCGATCACTGATGCAACATCGCATCCTTAGTACCTGGGATCGGTACCCATTCTGTAGCGTAGATTCGGTGTGATTTCAGCCCATTCATAGAACGTACGATACCGCTGCTGTGTCGCTACCTCAGCAAGCAGCAACCTGTGAAACAGAATATACAAACATATTACTGATAACTATTCATCCCTTCGCAGCCTTGTATAACTTAGAGGAAGACTGGCGCGACATCGTTCAAAATGCGGACCAACTGTCGGAGAAGCAGCAGCAACAGCAGACTGCTTTGTGGGAGTTAGCGCAAACAGAGCTGGCGTACATTAAGACCTTAAAGGTCGTGACCGACGTGAGTGATGAATTTCTCAGAATCCTATTAAAGATCGAGCTCGACTATCGCTAATCCTGCTTGTCGATCGTTCCAGCTGTTCATGGCGTGCCTGTGCAGCCTGCAGACCTCGAATATCCTGACCGAGGTCGACAGGACCAAGCTCTTCAGCAACATTCCCGAAATCTACGCCGCGAACCGATATTTCTGTACCGAGTACGTTCTGATGATGGTGAACTCGTCGAGGTCTACGGGACTACCGCTCGACCCTGGCCACCTTCTGCAAGGTTTCGAGACGTTCGAGCAAACGTTCGCGCCTTACACCAGATACTGCACCGAGCAGAGCAGGTGTCAGCAATACTGTAGAGACCGGCTCAACGATAATCAACTGTTCGCGGTCTATCTGATGGTGAGTCAACGCATCGTACACCGGTTAAATTTCAGCTACTAGAAACGCGAGCGTCGGTGATTATATTGATATATCTTCGAACATCGATCATACTGAAATTTCTACCTTTCGGAAACGAAGGAATTCGATTTTCTTTAAATCTCAACTACTAGAAACGCGAGCGTCGGTGATTATATTGATATATCTTCGAACATCAATCAAACTGAAATTTCTAACTTTCGGAAACGAAGGAACTCGATTTTCTAATTTTACTTTGGATTTGTATTATACATCTAAAATGTTACATTAATATGGGACTAGCAATTACACGATAGACTAGAAATCCCCCGTTATCGCGGGGCCGACGTGGAACGCGTTAAGAATTCAAATATGTATGATTGAATTAATCGAATTCGAAAAGAGAAGGGTCTAGAGACAAAAATTGTCCATTCGATATCACTGGTTAACAATTTCTACGGTCAACGATGTAACGTGATCTAGTAGAGAGATAGCACGAGCTTTCCCGATCCTAACTTTCCGCGTCTGCGCGTTCGAGTCTCAATCTCGGTCCACTGAAGTATAGATCGATCGCATCCTTTAACCTGATTACGTTCTCCGCCAGTGGTGCGAAACACAGAAGGATTGCAATCGGCTGAAACTACTTGACATACTGGTGAAACCTATGCAGAGGCTGACCAAATACTCGCTCCTCCTCAAGGCCGTTCAGAAGAACACGGAGGACGAAGATCAACGGGCGGAATTGATACACATGGTGAGCTTTAGTTTAATCTCTACCGAGATTACAGAGAGTTTCCTTTTGTTGTATTTTCTCTTGCTATTCTAGTTGTACAAAGGCTTTGTCAGAATTATTAGTCATTAGAATTCGTACGACGAATCACATTTTCTACATAAAGAGAAGGAACTACGAGCAAAATCTTCTAGATCAAATCCGTGGACGACTTCGTGGCGTCCGTGAACGCCGCCCTGAAGAGGAGCGAAGAAACAGCGCGACTGAACAACGCAGCGTCGCGCATAGAGAGCTACGATGTGGTCGAGTCCCGCGACGAGGAACTGGAGAAACTGATTCAAATCCACAGCAGATTTGACATCGCCAATGTGCCGATACCCGGCTGCCCCAAAGACACCCTCAGAGTGCTCCTCCGCGAGGGTGACTTGAAACTGAGAGACGCAGCGAGCAGTAAGGTACTAAAGCTAAAGCTTCTTGTCTAACTCTGTAAACCCCACCGATGGATTCCTGTATCTGCTTAGTCAGAAGAGCTCGCAAGATAAACTCCTAACGATCACAAACACCGGGTAATCCCCATCTTCCTTACAATCCTCATTTCAGCTGATGCGATGAAAGCAATGAAGCATCTAGAGATACAGGCGAAGCTCTGGTAGTCCAATGATCAACCCAATCCAGCTACCTCGTCCGATGGAACATATTAATTAATTAGGGTTCCTAGGAGACTGGAAACTATCAGAAATTACTTGACCCACTGATTAACTGTCGACAGATGGAAGTGCGCGTTATGCTGTTAACCGACATGCTATTGATCTGCAAACCGTTGACCAAGAAACCCTCCTCCGGCGGCTCGTCGGGATCAGTCGGTTGCGCGTTGAAGATCATAAGGCAACCGTACGTAATCGACCGCATCCGGATACACGAGCTGAAGGAGCCATCCAGCCTGGGGTTGGTCTATCTGAACGAGTACGAGGCAGCGTCGGCTGCTCTCGTTCTCAGCGCCGGTGAATCGAAACTGGCCAAGGTATCTCGGCTTTCCTCTGGCCATGGGTAACATGAAATATTCGAGAATTCATCGATTGATATTCCTATGCAGTCTTGGATGGAATCCATAAGGAAAGCTCAGCAGCAATTTGCGCTGATGAAGGTGCCGCCGCTCGGTAACACGCTCAACTTGAGCCTAGGAACGGTTAGCCGGCAGCCTAGCACGTACCTAGGTGACGTGGACTTCGACGGGGAGGAGTGTGAACCGATTTTGAAAACGCCTAGGGGAAGTAGCAGGGCGTCACGTGTTAGCAGCCTTGCCCACAGTCACAGGTTTGACGCAGTGAATCCTTTAAGCACTTCGTCTATGCGAAACTTGTAAAGAATCTTAAGCTCTTCGATGTCTAGGCTATGTAGAAAGGAGATCAATGATTCTCTTGTTATTAGTTCTTAACGCAATTGCCTAAATAACCGCCAATAGGCGAAGTGTTACTTATCTAGTGCCAGTCTAGGTTACCCGGAAGGTATTCTTAATTAAACTCTAAAACAACTTCCAGTGGAAGCATAGAGATGGAAGGAGTCTCTCCAGGAAGCAGTAGCTTCCTGCCCAGCTATAACCCAAGTAGGAACGTCAGCGTGGAGACCAGCGAGATGCCGCACGGGTCGAGCGTGTCCTCCGAGGAAGGTGGCGAGAGTTCAGGACACAATCACAGACCGTTGCAGATCAGGTAAACACGCTTATAACGGACAGCTGAGAAACAGTTTCAGCCAGCAATCTGACCGAGAATTTTCAACGTTATTTTAGTCCTAACAAATTTGATAATAGACGGTATCTGCTGAGTAAGTCGCCGACGCCGAACACACTGAGCGTCCAAGTACCAGCGTATTCTAGCTTGGGCCAATCGCTGCCAAACCTGACGCTAGCTACCTCGCCGCAAACATCGACAGTATCACCGACACCGCCAAACTCGCTTCTAATCGTTCCCCAAATAACAAAGAGCAAGGACACTTTGCTTTCGCCTGGGCACCGAGGTAGCAATTACCCACGCGGGAATTTATCTTCTTCCACTGTTAACCTCTCTAGAAGTATCATTTGACAATAAAACACCGGCGAAACGAACAGCACTGTGCATGCCTGACAGAGTTACTGGATAGGTTGAGCGCGGCATGTCCCTTAAATCAATGGATCAATCGTGACAGTGACATTCCCGTGTCACTGTGAGTCCGATGACTCCTTGATCCAATCGCCGCAGTCAATCTATCAATAAACGTATCTCCGTTGATCCTCTATCCCGAAGTAATTCCTATCGAAATCCACTTGAGACACCTACGATACCGAATGATACAAGATGCACGGCTTGATGTTAGTGAATAAAGAGAACAGATTAGGCTGAAGGTATGCTCACGTAAAATGTACCATCAGGTATCTCGTATCCGCCGCCGTCGCCCCCGAGGGGGGCACTAAGAAGAGCGTTCGCGATTCCGCAGTCGCGAAACCCGCCTCTCGTTAAAACGAGACACATAAGCTCGTCTGTGACACAAACGTTGCCACCTACGATGAACCTGGACACGGAGGCCATTGACGAGAGGCGTAGAAGGCTGGAACCTTCGCACAGGATGCCATCGGCGAGCAGCATCGCGGAGGAAAAGGTTAAAAAGCTTTGATCCGAGATCAAAGTCTATCCTCTATTTCGAAATTAATGCCGGTAGTTCTTTACGATCAGTCTCCTCGAGTCAGACCTCGATAGTTGCCGGTCGAATTCAGTGTGCGTCCGACGTGATCTGATTGATAACGGTTTCCGTAAATCGGATCCTTCGGGTGATATTAATTCCCGTGCAACGTCCTGCATGTCGCATGAAATGTCTCGGTGTTTGGTGTCCCCTATAGAACACAAAGCAGAGATCTTGCTATCGGATAGTACGATTTTTCGTTTTAGAAATGACAAGAGCTGGCGTACAAGAGTAACCTACCGAAAAGGTAAATTGCTACGGACCATCAGCCGTTTGATAAGGGTGTACGTGATACGTCGTGTTTCGAAACGTGAATGGTTGCATTCTGTTGCCTGTATGCAAGTGCTGCACACACTTTCATGCAGGCTCGGAAAACGGAAGGGGAAATATAAATAAAATTGAGTAAGCGAAACGTCTCGTACTCCCTGTGCCTACGATAAGAATCGAGCAATTTTACAATCGGTGAGTAAACAGTGTATCTATCCCGCTGGCCGCGAATCGATTCCCATCTACGATGATCCTCGTTTCTCTTCTTCTTCCAGATTGGGGCCATTCGAAATCAACGTGAAGTTTGTACCACGACCGTATCATAGTAACTTATTTGATTAGTCGTGTAACATCTAGATCTCATTTTGTAATTAACCGACGCGGCGGCTCGGACCGCGCGCGTTTAAATATTACCCTAGTTCATTTAGAGTTCTAAGTCGACGAGGAGAACAAGGAAAAGGCCTACCTAGCGTAACTACTATGTATCGTGATTTAAGTTTAGATGACTAATTAATAGTTGGAGTTCAAGACGCCTCTAGCGAAGATTTTAAACTTAAAAACTAAACAAGAAGAAAAAAAGACATTGAAAAACGAAGGGAAAAAAAATTATTCAACACAACAAACCGAGTTCGTGATTTAACAAAAAAATAAATAAATAAATAAAATAAAGCATCGATCGTTTAGAAGAGAGGACACACGTACTTAGGGAATTCACACTTTTTCTCGTAGAGAAGACAGTTGCGCGCTAAATCCCTCGTACAAACAAAAGCTTCGATTAAACCGTACCGAGCGTGGGAGGACACGAGAGAAGCATCGGGAGAGGAACGCGTTTACTTTAAGTACAAATTCGATTTCGCAATACTTTTGTTGAAGAGACTGAACCGAAGGAGTTGGGCCGTCGACGAGTATTCACCCAACTAGAGACAACAATACGTAGACGTGAAACAAGAGCAATGATTTTATACGAGCTCCCCATGTAAAGTTTCTTTCAACCCTTGCCCCCACTTCCCCCCTTGAATTTGCGCAGCCTGCATTAAGCTTAAAAGTGTTATCTATCGTAAAAGAAAAAAATATCGATTGTGCGTCAAGTTCAAAATATAGTACATAATTTATTAATCGGTTGTTCAATTTCAGTACCCGCTCATTTCCCACCGATCCTAAATCATTGAGAATCGCTACAGTGAAAGTTGGTTTGATAATGTTTTACAGCCTATTTTATTAATACCTTGCACCTTACGATTAAGATTATATATATTACATAAAGAATTTTCTGTATCTTTATATATAAATATTATTTCTAATTATACTGCAATTAAATCCTCTATTAGAAGCCTAAAATTAAACGCTATCGATGACTTATTTGTTTTATCGAATTATGTATATATCGGTCGATTCCTCGATCATGGGGAATCCCCGGAGTCGAATGTGGGGGAGGTAAGGTTAGTACAGGATAATGCAGGTTATTCACCGGTTCACATGCGCGCCTGTTGTTTCAAACTCTTCAAACATTCGTCTACCATGTACCCGTGTCCCAGAAGGTAAAAGATATTAAATGTTGTTAAGATACTGTACTGAATACTTACTTGGAAACTAGAAGGCAAAGACAAGTCGAAATAAAGTGGAAGACGTTGCGAGGCAGGGAACTGTCAGCAATCATTAGCCATGTCCTGACAGGTTCGTGCTTCGCTACGTTCGTCAGCCAAGGCTTCGATAATATCCAACAAAAGTTCTTTGCTTAATTGTCGCAATTTCGGTAACCTTGCAACCTGCAATCCGATAAGGTTATGGCTATCGGTATACAGTAGCGATACGAGAATCTTTAAGTATTCAAATGAAATGTACCTCAGTAAAATGGCGTACTATGAGGTCCAATGCGTATTTCTTCATGTCAATGGCCTGCATCCTATCAGCAGCTTCCAAGATCTGAATAACATTCTCAAAACTGATGTTCATTTCAAGATTTTGTTTGCAAAAGGCTTGCAGCCGATTATTTGTAAAACCATAGAAAATAGGTGCAGTAAATAAGTATAAAGAGTCTTCAGGTGGCATAGATACATCTGCGTAATAGATATATCTCAACAGAGAATCAAAAGATTCAGGAGAAGGAATCATTTCGCCTATTTGTATCTGCCAGAGAAATATGCGTTACATTGGAGCATATTTAATTATGGGCTGAATGTGTAATTAATAATCAATTACTTACATTCACCATATTATTTTCTGGCATGAAGGAACGAAACATACTTTCAAAGTAACTACACCGTGCTGCAAGGATTGCCTTATGGGCAGGAATGGGCATACCATCTAACATTAACGTTATATCACAGAATTCTGAGCCAACACTCTTCAAAAATGCCTTCATATCTTGTTCCAATGTTGTGCCTAAAGCAACAGAATAAAAAAGATTGGTTAAACGTTTTTTTCCCAAAGCAAGAATAAGAAATCTTACCTGTGCCAAGATCATCCTGCTTACAAAAGTTCCTTGACTGTGGCATCTGTCTCCGTCTAATGATTTCCACCATTAATGGCTGATCCAATGTCTCAAACTCCTGACTCATAACAATCTGATTGTAATTACTCTCTTTAACGACGAAACTTAGACAAAACTCCTTTATAAAATACAATTTCAAGTGAGCAGCGTTGTGCAACGCTTCCAGGACATTCGCGTGACTTATAGTTGCCTTCAGATAGTAAACACATAATTGTTCCAGTCGTTCCATATTAAATTGTACCGCCAAACGATAGACGTCCATCATAAGGAGTACAATCCGATTGCTCAGTGGATCTTCGACGCGATTACTCGATCCATCTTCGCTCCTCTTTGTTGGGTCAATACGGTCGGTATATATGTAGTTCAGAACCATCTCGAATGCTTCTGGCACTGCATCTTTCAACCTCACCTTTAACAATGCTATGTGAAGCAAGAACACTTATTGCCGGTCACTTAAAGATACTTACCTCCAATAAGGGCAAATCCTTAATAGGCACATCTGTGGTTCCAAACACATCTTCTAAGTGCTTATCTCTCTTCTCTCGCGCTTGTCTGATTCGAGTCCTGAGAAACTGTGATCGGGCTGCTACCATGGCTATGTGAGCAGGTATCTTTGTCTCCATTTCTCCCACGACAAATTCGACATCGCAGAAGAGACGTCCACTCAATAATCTCCCAAAATCATCGTGTAACGTACACTTTGGGTAAGAGGAAAATTGGAATCTATATGTTTCACCTGATCGGACATTGTTATCAACTGTTCCACCGAATATGAACATTGCTTCCCCTATCACCGCTGCAGCATGGAACAAACGACCAGACGGAACCTGACTATCAGCAGATGGAAGAATAATGTTCCACGTTTGCGTATCGAGGTCGTAACAATGAAGATCATTTGGCAATGTGGAATCAGCTGCACCACCAAATACATAAAGATGCCTATCGAAACTGACCATGGTATGACCATAGCGTCGTGCGGGTGGTGGTGGTGCACCGCGAAGAATATGTTCCGTTGAAATACGAGTCCACCTGATGACATTTATTATGTAAAGTTACATATCACAAGGATGAAAGATGAAACTCACCGTTTTTCTCGGAAATGGAATTGGAAGAGACTGTTAGTGATTTTGGCTCCACTCTGGCCGCTAAAAACAAACATAGATTCTCGAGCTACTGCAACAGGGAAATTGCAACATGTAGGTGGACAATCGCCTGATTGAACAACTTCTTCCCATACTCTTGGCTCTCCAGGCTAAAAAAGAATTAAAAAACGATAAGAGAAATCTTCGAGATATAAAGGATAGACTCAAAACGTCGCAACTGTTTGCGCGAGAATTGGCAAACTTACCAATAATGATATAGTCCACATATCATTTAATCTTGCATTTCCATCATAGCCAGCAAATATCCATAATTTATTGTCATATATAGCAGCTCCATGGGCAGATCTAGCTACAGGTGTTCTAAAAAAAGATTTTTACTTTATACTTAGAACTTAGGGGTGACTGAGAAGTAAGATGTTTTATGACATAGAAAGTAAATGAAATAAATGAAACATACTTCCCAATAAATTTCCATTCTGTCCATTGGCAAGTTTGGAATCGATATTCGAACAAGTCATTCTTATTGGTAAGATTTGAATTGGAATGTATGTCCCCAGTGTAACCACCAAATACAAACATAGAAGAATCATGCACAACTGCTGAATGATGATAACGTGGAGCAGGAGGAGCTCCTGCAGCCAATGCACGTCCCCAGGATTTCTCTTTCACATCAAATCGTAACAAATCATTCAACATTCTTTTACCATTATCACCTCCGAAAACATATATTGCATCTTTGTATGCTACAACAGTGTGTTTGCTACGCCTGTGTATAATACAATGAATGGTAAAATTTGGTGTAATGCATTTATAAAGCACTTTCTAATAATACAATTGATGCAAGGAAGAAAAGGATAAAAAGAGGAAAATAGATCACCAATTATATGTGACTAGTATTGTAATTACTTTTATCATTTATTTACAATCTCCAATTGATAAATACAAAGAAACTGTCTTTGAAACAAAGTTACAAAAATAAGTAAAGAAACTGGAATATGCTGGACACGACCAAAACACAGATGCACAATTATGGAATAAAAATGCTGTAACAAAATTATTCTTTGCACAAATGACGTTATAAAAAATTAAGAAAAATTTAAACTAATCAAACAGGAGTGAGGCTTATAAGAAATAATGGGCTTAATTAAAATACACTACCTGGCGCCAACGAATTCGTCACATTCCGGCATTCGTTGCCACCGATGGACAGTCTCAAAAGGTCCAAAATCAAGGGTCAAGCACTCTGCAGTCGCAACGTTATTCATATTTACTTATTTCAAAGTAATGCAGTTATTTTAGAGAATTCATATTTAACCTATAAAGACTGGACCTAACCGCTCTTCGTAATATACGAACGAGTAATGCATTTTATAATAACGGGTCTGAAAAGACCTGAAATCATGAATTTTATATAAATACAGAAAAGAAAATATTTTTCCACCACTCACAGGTCAGAAAAATTATTCACTGACCACAAAACTGTCAAAAACATGTGCGATCGTAACGGTTTTTCGAAACATCGATGTATAACAAAAAAATTATGATTTCTTGAAATTATATACAATTTCGAATTCTATATCCCAAACGTGATCAACAATTAACACAATTAATTTTTAATATCATATTTTACTAAACTACACTTAACAGTACATGATACTGTAGATCTGCACCTGTACAGGATGCACCAGAGTGCGTTCAAATTTCAGAGTATATGTAAATTATAACAATATCAGAATAATAATATATTAAGTAGAGGTAAATGGGTAATAAATTAAACTCATGATATATTCATTATTTTACGTGTATTTTTGAAAACCTAGGTACAAATGCATAGATACATTTGGAGGTGATCTCAAGTGAGCTTATAACGAATAAGAACGGGCGAATAATGGCGCTTAAATTGTGACCATACGAAAAGTATAAAAGTTCGTTTATATTTTGTCAAGTAATAAACATATTTTATTAAAGAATGATCTAATTTATCACGGTTTTAAACACCAAATGTCATCGTTTCGTGTTAATTCATCATACATTGACTCAATAGGCAGATCTTATCAAACTACTACCCAGTGTCAGTATAGCTTAATGTTCAGTAATACTTTAAAGCAACCCTTGATAAGAGAGGGGTGAGATAAGATTGAGTTCTTAACGTGGATGGAGTTTACAATGTAGAATTTAAACTGGAACATCCTGTATGTTTGCTAATTCAAAGGATACACGGGAAGGTCGATTTTATGTGTAGCCTCTGTATGTGTGTATATCTTATCAGTAGTACCACGTTGATAAATGATAATAAAGTTGGCGCGTTGATAGAGAAATTTATTGTAAATTGTTACAATTCACGTGATTATATTTTACTGAATATATTTTCATGAAACTTTGTAGTATTCAATTGAAATATATGTATATACATTGCTTAAATGATGTCGAAAGGCATGGTGAGGTGTTTACGCGTGCTATAACGTGCTAACACGAGAAACTGAGTCTGAGAAAGTGGTCCACATTCGGTGTTTCTCTAAGCAGAAATTTTTATGAGTAACAATGGTACGAATTGTATTTCGAAACGGCCAGAAGTTTCTTTGGATTGGCAGTGCCTGTATCGGTACATACATCGCGTACCGATACTGGAAAAAACGGGAGCTTCTGACAATAGACGAAGGTTTTGAAGAGGTGTCCAAGGTTAGAGCTTCACTCTTGATTTGTTCGGGTTTCTGAACAATTTGAAAGAGGATAACTTCAATCATGTCCTGTTTCGTTTTGTTTAGATATTTTCTTAATTATTCAGTAAACATCAGCAAAGGAAACAATGACATGGAACTGAACATGAACATGGTACTAGTGACTGTTATTTTATGTTTATAGATTGATGACACTCATGAAAAAAGAGTGGTTGTTTTGGGTTTAGATGGAGCTGGAAAGACTTCTATTATAAATCAAATTTGTGTTGCAAATGGTGATGAAAGTTGTTATACTGTTCCTCCGAAACCCACACAGGGTTCCTCTGTATATAGAATAAAACATGGATCTTTTTGTTATAATATTTGGGACAGTATGTATATTGTTTTAATTCTGTCTCTCACCAAAGTTTAGTTTAAGGTTGTTATAAAGATAAGTTTAATTTTGTTATCAGTTGGAGGCACAGAAGCTGCTAGAAAATATTGGGCAGCCTTTCTACAAGACACAGATCTTTTATTATTTGTAGTAGATGCATCTGATACAGACAAATTATCTTTGGCTGCTTTCACCCTTAAACAATTATTAGATGATGCAAGAATGGACAATGTACCAATCTTAGTAATTGCTAATAAGCAGGTAAATTTTAATGGAAGAAAAAAAAAGGATTTATGCAATGATGTATATAATGCCTAATATATTTATATGTGAAATTAGGATTGTTCTAATGCTCTAAGGCCAGAGGAAGTAAAAAAAGCTTTAGACTTGTTAAGTATCTCTCCACAAAAGCACAAAGTAGAAATAATGGGATGTCAAACAAGACCTTTACCTGAGAAGTCAACAGAAACAACAGAATACAACTGGCACCATGAGTCTATGGATGCTGTTAGGAAAAAAATATTCTCTATGGCAACTTAAACTTAAGAGAATTTCTCAATTGCTTATTTGATGTGTTGAAAAGTACTTTATACGTAAAGAAGAGAACAAATAGGTTAAGAAAATAAAGTAGAAGAGGCATTGTGTTCAAGGAAGCACAGTGCACTCGATTTTTTCACAGATTAAACTGATTATAAACAATTTGTCCAAATGAAATTAAACAAAATCTCTTGCAACTATAAAAAAAGGAATATAAAAATAAAAATATACAAGTTTTAAATATTGCTCATTATAGTGTATTCATAATCATGCAACTTTGTTGTACTTTTTATATTGGTCTTTTCAATATATATTTATTTAATAAATTATTTATTTATTTTACAAGGCTATAATAAACATTGTCATATTTTTTATTTTAATTATATACAATGCAAATTATACACTGACTTTGTAATTGATATACAAAGTGTTAAATGTTTAGAAATGATACAAATGAGAATATAGATCTATTTTAATTATCAATGTATAGTATTGTATAAACGATATAAAAAGTATTTACCTTCACTTTAAAACAAATGTTTTAACCTTTTTCTTGACACAGTTCTTGCATATACTTACATCACAATTTTCACATATCTATTTTTTTACACAAAAATACTTCAAACAGGTTTAACTAAGCACAATGAAAACTACTCATTGAGTGTTTTTACTTTGAAGGTACTCGTTATATTGCTCAGGAATACGCTTGAACATTTTAATTTTAGCACGTATCTGTTTCCACGTCAATTGATCATAGTTCTTCTTATCCCGTACCATTGCCTAGAAAAATAAGAGGAATAAGAAACAATTTCTTCTATTAGAAATAAATTTTTATAAAAAAAGATACAATACCTTGTAATCTTCTCCATATTTATCCATAAGATATGTAAGGAAATATATTTGACTATTTGGCAACCTCAACATCTTTTGCCTTGGAGCTTTGGCCTCAGCTTCTAATTCTTTAGCAACATGACCCTTTGTAGGTTCCATTTCTACATCTTCCCCTTGATCCGACATATCTTCAGGGTCAACAACTTTACTCTTAGCATCTTCAATAATTTCTTTTTTACTATTTGGAATTTTTATAGCTTCATTTGCATCATATGCTAGTCCCATTTGCTTCAAATTAGTTCTAGTGGACATCGTTACTTCCCATGAATCTTTTAACTGAGGGCTATAAACAAAGACTTAACTTTAGGTTGAATAAAAATAATGTCAAAACATGATACTTGTTGGTTATAATACCCACCATTGTATATTAGGTAATTTCCTTAACTTATTCCTTAGTCTTTTGCGATTTACATTCATGCGGAACTTCTTCCTACGTTTCACCTTTCTAATTTTTGTCATTTTGGTGGTTCTAAGCTCCCACGTGCTTTTCTAAAACAGACGCCGAATTTATTCGTTCAAACTCTCGTCTGAATATTGTACAGAATCAATATCTTCCTACAGGTTAGGCACTACACAGAACCAATACCCTATGTGGAAATAATTCACCAAATCATGGATGACGACCCTAGAATCTGTACTATCGACGAATATGTACGAATGAATAATTGAGAAATCGCATCATTTCCTGGTAACTGAAAGAGAAAATGATGTGTTTCCGTTATGAAATGTTTTAAACAAAAGTAGACACCTTAAACAGTTAGAAGCAACACAATAGGGAACATGTATTCAGTTACTGAAAGGTGATTGTTTTGTGAAGACGATTTGCATCGAACTTATCCTAAATTTCGTAAGAATTGACCAATTGTCAGTTGTTCATTGTATGCAAATCATCTTCTTGACCTCAAAGAACAAATTCCTTACAATTACTATGTGTAAGAACGTCTTTTCATGAGGCATAATGAATTTCGAGCACGTCGGCGATTGTGTTAGACTGCCCCCATTGTTATTCATGAATCGTGATTGATGAAAGGTAGTCTTTTGTTATGATTTTCCGTTAAAATCCTACTTTACGAAACTTGTTTAGTTTCTTATCTGAGGTAACCTCCGCCATCTTGTTTTCCGTACGGAACATACCAATGATGACGCATAAGTGGTGGAATCGCGGTTATTTTTTTCCTAAAGATGCAAACGAGTTACCAAACTCGACTAAAATGCGTTTTCCTTCTCAACTTTAGTGAATCTCGAATAAATTATGCTTTTATTTACCGTAAAAGGAATTTAATAGCTGCAATATAAATGTGAGATGAGTTATACAGACTTTTTCTGATGTTTACGACTTGTCGGTACAAAGTCTACAGTTTTAAACAATATTAAATAGTTTTTGCCATTTTTCACACTACTGCTATGTAATAAATATTAAACAGTTATTAATCAAATATTACAACAATTCAAAGGAACCAAGAGAGAGTTATTTATGCTGATTTTAGGAAACAAATGAAATGCGTGGTGTAGACTTGATCATGAATCGAATAAAAATTTACTTCTACTTGTATATTTTGCAGATGTAAATCAATATCGATGAACTTAACACACATGGGTGAACAGAGGCAGTAAAATCAAGTTTAATTAAAAAATTAAGATTTATTTGTCGTTGATTTGAGTGCACATATAAAATTTTAACAAGTGGTGTCTCGATTCGGATAAACAATCATAGGGAACGTGTTAGACGCATACGCGTACGCTCAACAATCACCTATATCTACACATGTATACAAAAACACCTAACTGTATGCGCAATTCGTGCAATACAATTAAATAGATCTAAAGTGGGGAGGAGTCGCGAAACATTTGGAGATTCTATGCACACAGATCAGTGCAGTCCGCTCCATTAACCTTTCCATTTCAAAGTACTAATATCCCCAGTAGGCATTCCGCATTACAGCCAAAGGTTCATCGAGTACCTCGACAAAGTGAACTAATGCTGAAAGCGAAACCAGTCTGTTTAATTCCTAAAGGATACCAACTAGATACTCGATTCGAATTGACCGAGCACACTGACAAATCAGCTGAGCATGAACTCAGTGATCCGGAAATACTGGAAAGGCTAAACGGAGACGATCAAGAATACCGAATTTACCAGGAGTAGCTAGTACCGAGACCACTGAACTCGGTGTGCACCAAGGGAGCGGCGTGTTCGTAGGTTTTGGAGTAGATGTGGGCCTGAGGAGCGTAGTCGATGATGGGTGCAGACTTGGCAAGAAGAGGAGCAGCATAGGTCTTGGCCAAAAGAGGAGCAGAGGCCAGAGGAGCACCATAGGCTGAAGCAGCATAAGCTGGAGCAGCATAGGCTGGGGCAGCGTAGGCTGAAGCAGCGTACGCTGGGGCAGCGAGGGATGCACTGTAGGCTGGTGCAGATGCGAGGAGTGCGCTCTTGGCGATGATGGGAGCGTGGGCAGCGTATTCGTAGCTCTTGGCGAGGATGGGAGTGGGAGCAGCGTACTCGTAGCTCTTGGTCAGAAGAGGAGAAGCAGGTGCGAGGTAGGACTTGGTCAGAAGGGGTGCAGCCGGTGCAGCGTAGGTCTTGGCCAGCAGAGGAGAGGGTGCGAGGTAGGACTTGGCGATCAGAGGTGCTGGAGCGGCGTAGGTCTTAGTCAAGAGAGGAGCAACTGGAGCAGCGGCATAGGTCTTGGTCAACAATGGCGCAGCTGGGGCAGCGTAAGCCGGGGCGGCGTAAGTCTTGGCGACGAGTGGAGCAGCAGCAGCGTAACTATACGGGGCAGCGTAGGTCTTGGCGATCAGTGGTGCGGCGGTCGGCGCAAGATAGGCAGGGGCAGCGATGGCGGCCTTCACGATGGGAGTATGGTGGATGTCGTAGTTCAACAGAGCATCGTTACTGATGCTGTGGCTGCTCACACGGACGGACGAGTGGGCGCTATCCTCGGCCCTAGAGTACGAGGAGATCACATTCTGGCCGGCGTAACCCTTCTGGGTCGATTCCTGGCTGAAACCCACGCTGCTCAGGTCTCCGGACGCCGTGGCGATATCATACGCCGCTGGTCCTCCAGCACGGACTACTGCCAAGCAGGCTGCGAGTACTACGAACTGAAAGGAAATTTTCTGTATTATTTTATGCATCGTGTTACAATAGTTTGATAAGATCACAGGAATAATGTGAGAGACTCGAATTCAGTCGTAGGAAAGACTGGAAACTTTAATTGGAGGAGGTCGAACGCAGATCGAGGTAATGATTCAGAGAAACTCGTCCGAAGGGAAAAGTTCGGGCTAATTGGAATCGTTAGAAGTTTTGCCAAGGATTTCTAATGTCCCTTTGGATGGCACAGAGAGCTCCTTCTCCGTTACGTCGGAGGTTCTTTGTTCTCTTGACGAGAGACGCCGTAACTCTGAGGGTGCGCGGTCTTCCGCAGCGCGGATGCTTACCTTGAATGCCATTTTGCTTTCGCTTGAAAGAGTTGCTCGGCTCTGACCAAAACCGGGGCCAGGCCCACTATTTATATGCGAGTAAGGTTGCAAGGGGGATCAATCGAATTTTGGGTGCCACTGTTCCCGATGCGATTGGACACGCCTGATCGGGGGAGAGGGAAACTGTACCGTGCGGGCTTTTTTTCTGTTGTGGAATCATTAATGGGAGCAGGATAGAAAGCGCGAAGTTGGAGGAGGATAGTCAAAGTAAAGAGGACATGGACGAATTCCAGGCGTGGTCCCGACGTAATTAAGATCGCCGATTCGCCGGGTGTACGTAAGGAACGATTGCCTCGTGTTTGCGGCATCATTAAAACGCAATCGATAATTAACGGTTTATATTTCAATCGGAGGGAACCTTAATTAGTCCGTACAGGTCGCTTGTTATTCCATAAAGACTAGCTTGGAAGCTACTGGTTCTCGCCTTATGACGTCAATCATTTTGGATCAATTACTTTTTGTCCCAATGATGTCATAAATATTCGATATATTTGTGTGAACCTCGCAACAAGGATTTCAATAAATATAAATATTTCTCGTAACTATCATTTACCACTGGATAATATTTAGCTAAGAATGTAAGTTTAGGGAAAGCATGTTTATATATTTCATAGTTTCGCGAAACAGCAGTAATTGTCAATTAATGTGTTCACCGATTATGTCACTCGACCACGAAACCCATCGGGCAGCGCACCCCACCGCCCGGCAAGGCGTCAACCTTTTCCTCGCAACCTTCGCTTATCCCGAACTGCGAAAGGGAGCAATTACTACGTCACGCGGGTAACGCGTTCCTGTTTTTCTTGTTTTATGTCCTTCCCTTCGTTTATGTAACGCGATACATACACCAATGCCGGACCGTGATATTGTAAGACCAGTCAAGGACGCACTTTCTCCGAATTGTGGCACTGACATATAAAGCCATATATGTTGTCTGCACCGGTTTCGCGTAACCGTCGCACCGGCCCGTGTGTGTTGGTGATCTGGTTACATTATTAGACAAAAGCGGCTGTCGCGTTGTCCGCCCCGCGGCGTTTAGCTACCATAGAGACTCGTAGGCGAGACCGTGGTCAACCCTGAAGCGATCTACAATGGCGTAACCTTGTGTCCCGATTCAAATCTCGCCTGTAAAACGGTCTTTCATAGGGAAAGAGACTTTCTACTTCTCCGACGTGTCCACCCGCCTGTCCGTTGTCATGCGTTTCCATATCTAAAAATAGAGGACAGCCGGACAGTAAATAGGTCCCTCGATTATTGAAAAAGAAATCCTTCGCTATAGCTCACTGATCTCAATCGTCCTTCCCTCCGCGTCTCAGTCGTTTGCTCTATATGCTGATCAGGCTGGTTGTCCACGGGGATGTTACTTTGTTGGTTCTCCCTTGAACTGCTCTGCAACAACTCTCTCCTCTGCTTCGTCGCCCATTTCTTGATCTTCTTCTTGAATCTTGTCTCTAGTCCAATGTCCCTCAACGAGAAATCCGAGAAGACATTGTCGATTTTGAAAATGTCCGGGTCGCAGGTGTGTTCTAAATTGATGTCTTCCACGGTCAACGGTTGAATCTGATGCTGTTCGGTCTCATCTAACATCCGCGTGTCTTGTACCGATTTTTCGTCCACTTCGTCGGACTCGCTGGATTCTATCGATGACGTTTCGTTTTCTTTCGACGTTGATGGGATTTCTATTCCGGGATAAGGACCTTTGGGAATATAAATTGCATTTCTCTAAACGATTCGTTTACTTATTTCCTTTCGTCCGTACAGGATTGCTTTAAAGCTGATGAACTTCCCTTGGCGCTTCCGTTTTTGCTCTTCTCCATATGAACGATCTCGGTTGAACCGTAACCCTTAATGGACTTATAGCGAACGTATAGGTTTTTTAGGGTCTTGGAGTCGCGATGTGACAAGGATTTGCTTTTAATGAGACGCTCCGTCATCTGGAGGAACTCTGCTGTTGGGGAGTAGTCTCTCGAACAGCACAGCAACTCGTCGTGGTCTACATAGATGTAATGAATATCGTGTACAAAATAGTGCATTTAAAAGTAATGTGCTCCTCGAACATTCCAGGTCGTTTAAACTCGCCTGGTATATATTTAGGCTGAAACATAACCGACTCATTGCGAATTAGTTCGTAAGACCTCGTGGGCGATGCATTTTCGCTGCCCCATGTGTCTGGTATCGGAGGTCTTCCCATTTTAGTATTTCGCATTATCCTTGCCAATTACCACGATAAATCTCTCTCGTTTTACATATTCGATAGGCTCTTCATATTTAATCAAAATATGAAGTCAAAACTACACGTCTATATGAACTTCCATCCTAACCTTCTTCCACATTCTCTTGTCACGGTTTTATCAATTTGATCGACGATCGTGATTACGAAAATATTCCATAAATTAATCACAGTTCGCTGAAACCGCGTTCACCGGTTTATTGATCCGCAATAAATTCAACTTAGATGCAGAAAATTTTTGTCTATAAAAACAATGTGATAAATTTTATAGAAAAATAATGAGTAACACAACAATTCGATAAAATGAAGGGAAAAAATGGCAAAACAGAAGCCGACGAGGATGGGATTCGAACCCACGCGTGTAGAACACATTGGATTAGCAGTCCAACGCCTTAACCACTCGGCCACCTCGTCGGATATGAAAGTACTTTCTAAAAGTTCATGATTTGCTCTCGATTGCCAAATTTTCGCGTCAAATCACCTCTCACTTTCCGTTTATTCGCGAACGATTCTACTCTCTATCGGCTCGGTAAATCGCGAAATGCATTCGCGCGTTTCTTCCATATGCACGCGTGTCAATCGATTCTTCACCGAGACTCGTTCTATTATGCAATCGTACTATATAAACGCGTGTGTATTCTGTCTCCATTATCAATTGATAGCGTATCGTCTCTCTAAATGTCGTAATATTTACAAAGAAACTGCATGACAAGCAAAAAACAGGTTTACGATTCATATCACGAATCGAAATCGCTTAATAGCCTCGCGTTTTGGCCACAGTATCAAACTTAATAATCCCCCCGTGAATATTATCTCGCTCATTTATTTCCTACCATTTTCTAAAACTATTATCACATGTTTTCTTCTCCTACGTCCCGTAAACAGTGTTTATAACGAGGAGGATGTTGCAAGCCACTCGTGATGATTACTGGGCATTAAATATAGATAGAGTATTGTAGCCGCTGACACAAGTTAAATTAAGTGAATCATAATCCTCCGTCGGGGGTCTCGGAAGCCGCAGAAACGAGGAGCGCAATAGCTGCAATTCCTATTAGGTAACCACGCGAACGGTTCGCCGAGTATTTCTATGTCCCGTTTCGATGCACAGTCATAGTATAGGCATCGTACATATAACATTGAACATTACGAACGACGTCTTGCCACTTTCGTCGTCATGGAAGGTACCATAAATATAACAACATCGTATACGTCCGTCTACGACAGTAAAACCGCGGAGATTCTCGAAAACAATTTCTCGAGGATTAATGGTATTTACCCCTTTTTATTAACTTAACGTCCGTCCGTTCCGGATTTAAGGAATGCTGGAAAACGATGGACGTGTTTTGAATTTCTTTTGATTCCAGAGGAATGTTATTTAGACCACGCAGGAGCAACTTTATACTCGGACTCGCAGATAGAAAATATTACCGCCGATTTGCATAACACGCTTTATGCGAATCCGCACTCCGTGGGAACGGCGAGCAATATGACTCAGGATGTCATAGAACGAACGAGATATCTGTAAGGCGTCTAGCTTCATCGAAGTATGTGCATACCGATGTATGCGCATGCTAATCAATTTTTTTTCTTACAGGATATTAAATCATTTTCACACGTCCTCGGATGATTATACCGTGATATTTACATCCGGCGCGACTGGATCTTTGAAGATTGTAGCTGATACATTTCTGTTTGCCGAAGAGGCGACAAATGATGCACAGACAGGGCATTTTGTTTATACACAGGATAATCATACGTCAGTACTTGGTATGAGAGAGGTCGTTGCTCAAAGAGGAGCAAAAGTGACTTGCTTGAAGCATGATGAGGCTTTTGATATTTTCAAGTCTCCTATGACCTCTTTGAGCCCCTCACAACAGGAGGGTAAAAGTAATTCACTGTTTGTGTACCCTGCACAATGCAATTTCTCAGGACTTAAATATCCTCTGAAGTGGATTAATTATACGCATAATGGGGTTTTGTCAAACATAACTTCTGACACATCCACTAAGTGGTATGTCCTACTTGATGCTGCTGCCTTTGTACCCACAAATGACCTTGATTTGTCTGTTTACAAGCCAGACTTTATATGTGTGTCTTTCTATAAATTGTTTGGATATCCTACTGGAATTGGTGCATTATTAGTAAAGAATTCAAGTGGGAATGTATTACACAAGGTTTATTACGGTGGTGGCACTGTAGATGTTTCACTGAGTTCTGAGATGTTCCATGTCAAGCGTCAAAACTTGCATCAAAGGTATTAATTTGTGCTGTTCGCGACATGAAATGTCTTATTCAATTGATTATGTTTATAGGTTTGAAGATGGCACTGTACCATATCTCTCTATAGCATCATTGAGACATGGTTTAGATATATTGTCATCTATTACCATGCAGAAGATCTCCAAGCATGTTTTCTCACTTGCACAATTTGTACATAATTCCTTGTTGACACTTCATCACAATAATGGAAAACCAGTTGTAAAACTTTATTCTGATACAACTTATGAAGACTGTGATTTGCAGGGAGGTATTGTCACATTTAATCTTATACGTTCGAGTGGAGAATATATAGGGTATATGGAAGTTTTAAATATGGCAGCTCTATTTAAAATACATCTTAGAGTAGGGTGTTTCTGTAATCCTGGTGCATGTCAAAGACATTTAGCATTATCAAATAAAGAAGTTCTTCAGAACTATGATGAAGGATATGTCTGTGGAGGTGCTGCAGACATAATAAATGGCAGACCAACAGGGGCTGTAAGAATTTCATTTGGATATATGTCTACATTTAATGATGTACAGACTCTGCTGTTTATGATCAAAGAATGTTTTGTAGATAAACCAGAAATATATAAAGTTCCAGAGTGGCGGCAGAATTACAAAACAACTTTACACAAGAAATATTTTCAACAAAATATCAATAAACAATACACAGATTACATAAAACACAATGGTACCAATGGAGTTACTAGTACATTACAAAGTATCAAGGAGTCTGTGATTCATTTTATGAATAGCAATCAATTCTTCAGTCCAAGAGAAGACAGTAGTGCAACTAAAAAGAAATGCACTTTAGAACAACTATACATATATCCAATAAAGTCATGTGGTGCTTATAAAGTAACAGGATCTTGGAAATTAAACTCTAAAGGTTTACAGTATGACAGAGAATGGATGATTATTACATCTTCTGGTACTTGTTTAACACAAAAGCATCTTATCAATTTGTGTCTGCTAAAGCCAACTATATTGACAGAAAAAAGGATTATGGAACTAAATTATCCAGGTGTAAAGTCTAATTCTTGCACACATTAATTATCTTGTCACTTTAACGTTTAGCATAATAATTGCTATGCATTTTAGGAATGCCTACAATAAATGTCCCATTAGATAATACCTTTGCAAAAAGTATAGAGGGAACTTTATGTCAAAGTAGAGTTTGTGGGCATAAAGTAGAAGGCATAGATTGTGGTGCAGACATATCTGAGTGGTTAAGTTTGGCCCTAGGTTTACCAAATTTAAGGCTTATACGGCAAAATAATAGTGAGAGTAAAAAAAAAGGTATAATAAGTTAACAATATTAATTTGCAAACAATAGCATTATTTAATTGAATTTTTTTTAAGCACAAGATAATAAACCTGAACTATCATACTCTAGTCAAGCTCAATATCTATTGATAAACAAAGCAAGTGTATCATGGTTAAGTAACAAAGTAGTTGATACAGAAGTTCAAAAAAGCACAATTATACATAGGTTTAGAGGAAATATGATTGTAAGTGGCTGTGAAGCTTTTGAAGAAATTCAATGGAAACATGTATCCATTGGACAAAATAATTTTATGGTATGTGCAATATAGAATTGATTTAAATATAAAGTATGCAGTTTTAAATTATTAATAATTTATTCCATTTAGGTAATGGGACCTTGTACTCGGTGTCAGATGATATGTATTGATCAAATGACTGGTACAAAAACTATAGAACCATTACGTACACTTGCTGAACAATTTCATGGAAAATTAAGGTTTGGTATTTATTTGACCAAAGAATCTCAAGAAGATGGAATCGTTACTATTGGGGACATTGTTTCTATTTCATGATGTTCTATATGATTCAAGAATATAGTACTTTCCTCATAACATGTCATATGTATGTCATAGTACACTAGTAGCGCAATTTATCCCATGCACATAAACCATTCATTATTGTATTTTCACCATTTTCTATCCTTTTTGTACTTATTTAGGAACTTAAGATTTAAGGTTGTGGTAACACTGGACGCGGTACTAAAATGTACTATACTATGTGACATGTATTTCATTTTAGATGGAATTAGTATAAAGTAGAATTTTAGAAGTAAATTCTAGTTATCTAAGAAGTACAAATATTGTAAAAGGCTTTTGTAAATATAAGATATATCAAAAGGTATCCAATTATGTTTTATACGCGTATAAGTAGAATTATGCGATTACCAATGATAAGTTCGCTTAACGAGTCGCCATTTTGTTTCCAGACCGGAGATTTCTTTACATTTTCACCATTAGTTTGGTAGGATTGCAGATATATCTAAATACTCGCTACCGTGGCATTCTTCTATGCACACCTGTCGCACACCATTGTGAACGAAGTTCAGTGTAGTTCGTGAATTTAGAACGGTGCGTTGATTTTTACCCGACTGTTGCATTATATCTTCCCTTGTAAAGGCGTTCCTCTTTAAGACAACAGACGGTGCCATATACCGGGTGTTTCATTTTGTAACGCGCGAATCTTTTGAAAATTGTATACGCAGGCAACAGGTGTCTAATGTCGCACATGTTTCTTGTACTTAAACAATGAAAATGCAAAATTTTCTTCCGAGAAAGGAGTGTTTTTTAAGTCATGTTTAAAGGGCTTTTTAATATCTCGAGGGGAAGTACCATTTTTGATAAGAACGTCCGACAGTTTGAATTATCGATTCTCGAAAATGGAATACGATTATTTAATTAAGTTCTTGGCCCTTGGGAACTCCGGAGTTGGCAAGACGAGTTTGCTTTACCAATATACCGATGGCACGTTTGAGTCTCGTTTTATGTCTACCGTTGGTATTGATTTTAAGGAAAAACGGGTGGTAAGTTATTCATTTGAAACTTAAAAATTTATAAATTATATGCAGGACTACACAGGCATATCTTAAAGTTCATATATGTAAATAATCTTAAGACACATATGTTATTACTGACAAGTTAGGGTGATTATCTATTGTAGATATACCAGACAGCAAATGGTAGAACACAGCGTGTGCATTTGCAGCTGTGGGATACAGCTGGCCAAGAGCGGTAATGGTTTTTATAATTACTTACATAAAATCATCTTACATAGTTCTATTTTAGTAGTAGTAGTAATCTTTAATAACAACTGCCATTAATTATAAGCTTTTAACACTTCAATTCATATTAGAAATAGTTAAGTTGTATGGATTAATGCGCATATATTGGTGTATGTCCTTGAAAGCTGTTATTAATATTTTCCCTAGCATAGATAATGAACGGGATAATTATTGTACTTACTTACAAGTGCTTTCATGCTATTAATATTTAGGTTCAGAAGTTTAACAACTGCATTTTACCGGGATTCCATGGGATTTCTTTTAATTTTTGATCTGACCAATGAGCTCTCATTCCTTGAAGTAAGAAATTGGCTGGAACAACTTAGGGTACTAATCATTTATTAATAATGTAGTTGTTAACATTTTATCTTGTGTGGAGTAGTTATATCGAACGATAATTTGGGTTGACATATTAGTAGAGCGTATAATTGTATTTAGTTATTAACAATATGTAGTATAGTTAATTTTTTTTACTGCATGATGCATGATATATTTCTGAGTTACAATGTAACTTACTGGTGCATGGGACCATAAATACTTTCAAATAATTAAAATCATTCACACCCACTATAAATCTCTCATATGACACAAAAAATAATAAACCCTATTTCCTGATAGAACAAAAAAATAAAAGAACCATATGCAAATCCGTATATCTTTACTGTATCCGCAAATACAATAAATGTACTTCACTTAAAAAAATAAACATGCACAATAATATATCACTTAATTTACAATGCAAAAATTCCTTACCAATCATTCTCAACTCAAACTGTCGTTCGATCGAATAATTCTAAGAAAAGAATTGTAACATTAATAAAGTCATCTATACACGCATAGACCCACGGATACTGCGATGATCCGGACATAATTCTCTGCGGAAATAAGTCTGATTTGGAAGACAAGCGGGTCGTCAGCGAAGAGAAGGCACGGGAGTTAGCAGAGAAGCACGGGTAAATAATTCAGTGAGATTCCCCTTTGGAGAAACGTCCTGACTTCAGTCTGAACGAAATCAATCGGTCGCTCACGACCATTGTTAACTATACCTCTACCACATTCCCAACTATATTCGCTCCATATCTCTCCTTGTTATCTAAACCGGACATACGTGTTCCCGGCCACTCACAAACAGCAACGGAAACTGCCCTGATATGAAAATGTGAATCGTGACTGCCGCGTTTGTAGCGCGCGATTCCACAAGTCTGCACACGTGATTCTTTATCAGGACATTTCTCCAAAGGAGACACTGAAAGCCCCTGGCTCTGACCAGATTGTACTCCCCAGTTTGGTCTACCTGGAAACCAGTGCAGCGACTGGGCAAAACGTGGCGCACGCCGTGGAGGTGCTTCTGGACCGGGTGATGCGTCGCATGGAGACCACTGTAGACAAATCATTGCTGCCTCATCAGAAAGTATTGCGCTGCCACGAGCGCGACACACCACCGCCCAGCACATCATGCTACTGCTGACAGTGTCCTTACACGTAGTTGAGCGAACCGTTGCTACCGACATCAAGATGAAAATGTTCGGCGGCTTCAGTGTTCGTTCAGCTAAAGGCAATTCAACCGATGAATCTTATACTTGAATCTCCTAGCGTTCGAAGAGTTGAAAAGGGGTACTAAGCTAGATACCCATCGTACATTCAAACGTTTGGGTGCACCAAGTTGATCAGATCTGATTGAAGTCCTAGTAATTGCCGCGGGCAACGTTCATTGGTGCATCAGACGTTTACGATTGTACGCCGATCGAAGTTTTCCGGTTTCGTTCTCGAACGAAGCTTAACGAATTGTTTCGTGCATTGCACATCCATGCGTCGTTCTACTTACGATGTTCCACGTATCCACGCACGTACTGTCGTCTTCCATTGCCGCTTCCCTCTGGTACAGGACTGTTCTTGACGCATGTTGTCTTTCATCCTTCGCGGTACCGCGATTCGCCTGTTACTGTTGGTCGCACAACGTGTTCAATATACATTGTAATACATACATATTTACATGCGTATCGGTCTGACTTCGTTCGCCAAAGATTGTGATACGGTGGCTATGACTCGGGACAGGGTGTCGGTGATTTTTCGACTATGTATCTAACGTGTTGTTGCGCCGAGAGGTATTTTCATGCAGAACAATCGTGTACAAAAAGTATCGACTATTTTATGTACAATTACAGTTAGCCGAACAGGATAGTATTTTGAACGTCCGTTCTTGGAAGCTGTCGGAGGGAAGACTCTTCTTTTGTCAACCGCTTTGTCGATCATCCCTTGATGACAGCTTCAAGCTAGCTTCAGGTTGTGATGGTTGTTTCACCCTGCGATGCAACGTGATCTTCCAAAGCATCGCGAGGGGGTCACCAAAAACGTCGCGACAGTATTTTTGATGCTGTTATTGTGTCTAATCGAAGTTCATACATCTAGCCGTAAGTGTCCTATCGTCGGAAAACAATCAAACTGTGCGGCTCCGTTACCTCTTCACGCGAAACCTGTTTGTACTGTCGTTATACTGAGTATTTGATGATATATATATATATATATATATATATATTAATCGTGGATACGGTACAGTTACATGCCGAGGATCCTACACGTTATTCATCTTGACTTTTATACGTGTGTTGTGTGTTCAAGTCGAAGAAATGATTCTAGGAGAGATTACAGATGCTGGGAAGTCTATGTCCAAACTATACAGTAAATCTTTTATCAGATCTTCTAATGGAAAAACATTGTACGTCAATTGAAAATCCATTTTTCAATTAGCTTCGAGGAAAATAGATATATCACGGACTTCTACTCCCTAGCATTTGAACTTCTCGCATTACGAAGACTATGTGTTACTTCATCCAATTTTTACAAGGTGTTACAGTTTATCAAGTACAGTTTATATATATATAATTGTTGAGTGTATACAAAACGATATAGTAACTCGCTAGATGTTTTCTATCAGAGATTGAGGTTACGAAAATGGTGGCACGTCGAGTGGAATCAACTATTTCCAACGGGACGCTTCGTTCAGTACAACTATAAATCAGGGTAGTTAAAGTTTTCAATTAATATTGTCATCTGTACCGAGAGAATCTCTTAAAACTGATTAATCTTCCGAACGAATGGAGACGGTTATAGCCTCGGCGCATATTTATTTATAACCATTTGACAAAAGTATCTTTATCGACTAACTGTTGCGCGATACTGTTCGTGGCTATGTCTATGCTTTAAGGATTATCGTAAATCGTTCAGCTGCTGTCTCTTCGTTGTCAATGATCATTAAACAATCGCGATTCAGATGCCAAACACGATTAATTCCGGTTACCGTCATTCAATAGGAATTTAGGGGATGAAGATACTTAGCTTCGGTTTCTGAATGTTCTCAGCTCCATCCCCTCCGCCTATTTCGAGGCGCGAAAAATCATTTTCCCGGACCTGCAGATGGCAGGTGTTCCTTTCGCAGTTCCTATTATTCCTTCCGAGAGGCTCGCGGCCAAATGCAAACCGATCGAGCGCCGGCGAGGAGGAAAAGTCTGGAAAATGGCTCGAGCATCGGGAAGGGCGATGAAACTTGGTTTCATCAATAACTCGAGCGGGTTGAAAAGTGCAGGCCGCTTGAGCCCGAGTTTCCGCGGGGAAAACTTCCTTTATGGAAGTTCGATCGGAGTTTCTGACCACCTCCGCCCGGTTATTAGCCGGCTATTTATACACACCGGTGTTATTGTTTACGAGTACGTCTGCCTTTAAGCCCGACCAGCGTTAGCTACCCGCGGGCGAAATTTATTTTTACTGCGAAACTTCGATTCTCTCCGAACTAAGGTCTACGATCATTGTTCAACAGAATGACCCTCCGACTGTCGTCGGGCAGCTTTCGCAAACTGTGCCGTACGTTCAGCATATTTCTGTATGTACTTAACACGATATCGAGTAATAAAGAGCAAGAATTAAATGTACTCTGCCCTAGCTACCCTTAATCCTAATTCTTTGATCTTCACTAGTGTACTCTCCGTTGCACAGGAGATTCTCAGCAGGGAGCAGGTCTAACTGGTTAGCTTTCATCCTTCTTCGTTTTTTCTACTAACCCTTTGCGGACGAAGACTCTAAAGTACACAAAGCTTGCAACATTTGAAGCTAAATTATACATCGAATGCTTAACACTAGAACTACCGAGGATTTAATACGACTGATATGTAATCCCCATAAAAATTCTAACAATAGCTATTTATTTTCAAGATCATTTCGAATATTTAATGCTCTTAAGATATCAGTAATTGTGAGACAAAACAATCGAAATCAGTCATTTTGACTGGTACGTAGTTCTAGTGTTCATATGTGAACTATACACTGATCACTTACTATTCAAGTAATTAAGTCATTCGTTTGCAACTCAATATTTCAAATATGAACACTTCATCTGATCGAAATGTCGACATTCGTCCGCAAAGGGTTAATTCGCTATTCGTCAATAATGCACGTAACCAATGAAAACTATAAACGAAACACATAGCAAACGACCCAGCTTGTCAGGGGTTCTATGCAACAAAGAGTACTCGTTCTCTAGACCTAATACTATATCGACGCTGCATCCCCAAACGTTCTTCGATATTTAGACCACGCTTTGCCACGGTGAACGCACGTTGGCAATAGAGCGATTAGGCTTTCCTAGCTTTGTCTCCGACGCGCCGTTGATACCGGTAACGACCACTTTGAGACCGGCAGTTAGGGTCCTCCCTCTGTGCCGTAGTAATTATTACTCCGAGGTCCCTCAAGTTCACTTGATGGAGGCTAGACAAAGCGATAGGGCCGTTCAAAGCGCGCGATCCAGGACTATCAAAAGGATGCTATTTATCCGACCGTGGTTGGTTCACCGACCGGTTCCTCTTTCCACCGCGTTCGCCGGCCCCGCGCCGCTGTTTCCGGCTGCGTCTTCATTCACTCGTCTCGCGGCGCGCACAAAATTCAACCCAAGGTGCTGGGAACTCGAGTTTCCTCGAAGGCCTGGTGTCAAGAACTGTTGACCGGAAGTTACCGCGAGACGCTAGGGTTCTTGGCCTGTACAGCTCTCGGCGTTCGCTGCATTTTGCGGGGAATACTCCGGTGCCGGAGACATTTCAATTATTCGAATTGTTCGCGTCGTTGTCGCAGATATACGCGGTACTCGTGTAAAAATGATTAAACCTTGGGTTTAATTGTTTTAGAGATCTAATTGCGGAAGGGCGTTCAGTTCAGTGTCGAGTAATGGCTTTACGTGGATTTGTTAGGCAAAGTTCAACTTCAACGAATGAAATGGAAAGGAATCGTTATAGCGATCAAACGGCTAGGAGTAATAGACTTATCGGTGAATTAGATTTTCGATTTGTTGGATCAATCGATCATTTCGCGCAAGTTTCTGCGCAACGGAGTAGTGGGAGTCGAGTGGTCTATAAAAGAACGAGGGCACGCGGAATTCCTCAGTTCGCTCTGGGTCTCTGAATCCGGTGGAGCTTCCTGCTTGTATGACACAATTCTTTCTATTTGATTTTGTTCATAATAATCAAGAGTTAATAGATGCATGGTGCTCTCACTTCCCTTTCTCCTTTTCTTCCACTCAATTTGACGTCAACAAGTTCTTTTTACATCAGAGTATATATATGTAGATGTTTCCTATAATATATCTTTAATAGAATATGGTGTCATCTAATTCTTTTGTAGAAATCAATGTTGCAAGATAATTTAGAATTGATTATCCCCGAGATCGAATGCAAACATTGCAAATTCGGTAGTGCTAATGGAGCATTGTCATCCCAGAAAATTGGACCACTAAAATGCACCGAACTATCGGTCCACGCGAGCATCTCGATGCCCGAAGCACCTAATGGATAAGTTCAGATCTGATTACACGGATCGATCGGGGAATCCCGCACACGTGGCTGTTTCAGATTCCCTGACACGGAATCCCGCGGTCGTCAGGAAAAGGGAAACAATTTCAGTTAGATATTGGTCCGGCGGATAAAGCGAAATTACACAGCGGCCATCGTAACAGAACTCCCGTTTTCTAGGTCAGTGGCGTCTTCCCGCTGATTCATAACTTCCGGTTGATACCGTATCGCGGACGGGGAACAGCCGAGGACAGCAACTAAGACGCATCGGTCTTAAACCTAATCTCTGTACAAATTGCAAGGGAAAACTTCCACAATGTTACCGAAATTCGGAAACTTATCATGAACTTTGCTCCTTAGATCATCCCGACGTTTTTAATCCCGTTTCGCGTTCTATTATCGGGGCAATACTCTGGACAGCGTATAAGACGAATAACTTGTACATCATTTTCATCTGTTTCTAATTCTCAGTGATTTCCTTCGAATAATTTAGCTTCAGAGACACGCGGACTGTTTGGATTGCTTTTTGGAAGTGACAGACAGTTGCAGCAATAATGAAACAGTTTATCGTATTGTCCCTGTTAACGTAGGAGTTGAAGCATGAGGATAGTAGGAACGAAAGTTAGCTGTAGCTTTGTCTAATGCCGAGACCGCCGTTATCGTTATGCGTTTTTATTAATATCGCAGAGAAAGGAGTAGGATAATATAATGAAAAAGACCGAGGAGTGTCTCTGACTTGTAACGGGTAAACAGAGATAACCATCCTGACAGTGATGGCTACCACACTGAGTCTGTAGCAGACAAACAAACATAACCACCCTGACAGTGATGACTACCACATTGGGTCATACCGTGACAAATCCTGCCCTACCTAATATTTTCTAAAACAACATAAGCAATTGACTCATAGACAGCTTAAAACCCTCCCCTGAGAACATATGTATATAAGTACCCTGAAAAGACACAATAAAGTCAGTATTGTAGGAAACGCTAACTACGTCGGATCTCTGTTCATTTCGATTGGACTACGAGAGCCATTCGCGAGATAGTCATTCTCCAGGGACCATGAGTTTTCCCCGTAACACTTTCTAGTCTGTTCTTCGTCTGACGTACCTCCACTGTCGTTCTGTTTCCTTGGTAATATTCGGGAGGAACAAGTAGGATAGCATGATTGCAGCAGGTGGCAGTGTTTTCTATCTTCGTCTAAGCCTTTCTCGCTCTTCGGTACCTCCGCAGCCATCCTGTACTCCTAATACAAGGAGCCATTTTTCGTCGAGAACGTTCATCCACGCTTCGCAACGAAACTCGACTGAACGCACACCGAAAAAACCTCCTCCATTGTTACGCGGACCGGCACAATGGCGTTGGCAAACATTTTGTTAACGCGTTAGCCGGTATTCGAGACAATGGAACGATATTCCAAAGGTTTAATTACCCCTCTCGTTAAGGCGATCTTAAAACTAATTGTTCCGAAGTCGACGGGAATTGAATGGGAATTATTTTCCGATCTATCAACCTGAAACAATGTGTGCCGCGCAGATTATAGTATTGGCAGAAGGAAATGGTAAACAACGTTACCGTTGAAAGCACTCGATCGATCGTAATAGTCATTCGATCAAGGAGTTAACGTTCCATGTTCGTTGAAAATCGACGTTGGATATTTCTTGCTTGGCCGGGAGAAAACAATTACATATTTGCGTACAATATTCGACTCGCTTCTACTGGCTATCATTTTCTCACTTAGGACTAAACCCTTCGCTGTCATTAACAAAATTACTAACTACGATCGCACCGAGAAAGCTTCAATAGGAAGACATTAATCACGAAAGCAATCCTTTCTCGATTGCCCCAATTTACACCCGAAGTTCTCTAATTATTACTGAAATCAACAGGAACATCCCAAATAAACATTAATCACAGCAAATCACTAACAAGAATCACACCTAGTCTGAAACACCATCAAACACGTTTACTTTATTCCAGTAAACCCATTGAACATTCAAATCTCCTCGAATTCCGATGACTCCGGACACGTTCCACACTCGATTCCAGCCCTCCAGGGAGGAACCCAGCGGGTAGCGTCGAGTAGCGAGTATCGCCGCGCCTTTATTACACTTTTTATCGTCTTCCCAGCGGGAGGAGCGACGATCAGGTCAGCCTGTAAACGTAGTATCACCTGTAAGCGCGAACGGTTCCCGGGAAACGTTCCCATTGTCCCACGGAATCCTGGCACGGATTCGTCGGAAGGAAGAAAGGGTGGCGGTCGGTCGCATCCGGAAGCAGGGAGCCGAGTTTCCGCCGTTTACGGTTCCCCGGGCTGCCCTAAAACAAAGCGGAAGTGGAATAAGAAGTGGCCGGAGTTTTCTCGCGGTCCCGCGTTCGCGGATCGTGAGACTTTTTCCGAGATCGTTTCGCGGGCTCTGAAAGGACCGCCGATAAGGATAACGATCCCGGCGGAGACGTGACGTTAATTGGAAGAGGGCCGGCTTCTATAGATCCCCGCCGTCCCCCGATCTCACGGAGAGCCTTGGGCCACCTGGCCCCCATCGCGGAGACGAGGAATCTTTAATTGGTTTCTACGAGACAAGAATAATTTCTGCTCGCCACACCCCGCCCCTGTCCGCATTACCTCGTTATCCCAGCCCGACGCGTTCCCGGAGATTAAAACTGATTGCCATCGCGCCGGGATGGGAGATTTCGGCGTCGTAGTCTTTCCGGCAACGTTCCTCGAAGATTCTAGCATCATCCACCAGCGGGGACCTTGTTTAATGGTCTAGGTAGGTCAGTTCGACTGTTTCGAGCAGATTAACCCTCGGAAACTAGACCTTCTTGGCGATTGGAAGGCGAACTTAGGGTCCATTTTGATTAAGACTGGTGTCCTGTCGATGGGTAGAAGGTTTCTCATTGAATTTGCGGGTTGTTTTCGATTGTTTTGTAGTCTGTTTATCTAAGCGACTACCAGAAGTTACTTTTCGATCGCTATTCTTGTTGCTTGTCTAACGCGAGCGGGTTCAAAACGGACGCTGAAAATGGAGATCCGAGGAATGAAGGATCTTGTGAATTTATTTCGCTGGATAGACGAAACAACGTTTCGCCGAGGATATTCGATTTCGTGGGAACGTCCCGTTCT